GTGTGTTGATTTAATAGTCGCGGTCACAAGCATTATGGCATGTTCATGATTGCCACACCTACCCGCCCCCTGCACTCGAGCCCTTAAAATAAACGTGACCGGCTAGTCGCAGCTAACAGCGACCCTCCCTCCCGTCATCCTGCCCCCTCTCCGTCAGCCGACTAGGCCACTGTTGGTCATTATATGTTACGCTTACGGCTTTTCGCTGTTGTGTTTGCTTGCTCGTCTACCGCTTCGCCCTCTCGCTGAGCTCTTTTTATATGCAAATTCCGCTTTTAGCTTTATTCGCATATGCGCAGTTTTTCATTATTTATTGTGTGTTTAAACAGATTACGTATACGCCGCATGTGCGTGTGTGTGTGCGTATTGGCCATGTGGCGCACCCACATCTTTTTGGCCAAGATTACGGCTGATGACGGTCGCAAATTGATTGTGAAACAGGTGAGAAAATGTTGTGTAATCTTTGGCAGATGTTTTCCAGTAAACAGCAGCGGGCAGCAGAGCGAATCGAGCTGCGCTTAGAAGCTGTTACATTTAATAGCCATAGTTTATCCAGACATAACATTAGATAAGATAGTTGTTGTTCTTGCCGAAATTTAGTTTTGCTTATAGAATTTCTTAAAAATTAAATTACAGTTTTAGAACGATAACGAATTCCGCTTTAATAACATTTTCTTTTATGCCATAATTCTTTTTAATTATAGTGATAATAACATAAATAAAAAGTTACTAATAATAATATTATAAAAATAATAATAATAAGAATAGAAATAATAGTAACAATATATAGTTATATTTGGGCGACTTACGACTTTATGATATAGTAGTCCAATTTGATATGTAGGCACGCAGCTTTGCTAGTAGAATGTTGAAAAATTGAAGAATCTTGTAAATAAGCAAACTTAAATTTTTGCTGTAGTAATCCGATGTGGGACAAGGCTTGTTCGTTCGCAGGGAGCTTAATAAAACTCTTAAATTCCAACGTCAATATATTTGATATTTGAATCGAAAAACTTTCATACAATAACTTAATTCTCAAGCGATCATACCCAAGGCAACTTTATGATATATTGTAAGCTGATCTGACCGTCAACGAAAAATGCAACAAGAATTCGGACAGCTTTGAATCCACGAAAGAAGACAGACAAATACTGATTATATATATTCTTTTTGGGTTCTTCTATGCGTTCCACAAATCATAACAAAATAAAAATAGCCTCGTCTCGAGTGTAATTAGTGACTGGGATTATAGGAAAGAAGTAACCATTCTGCTTTTGTAATGCCGAAGATTATTTACCCTTTACTATTGCCAACAATGTATAGAATCCTGGCTCTTTATATTATGTTTCTCAGTATAACCGGGGCTATTGTCGAAATGAATCCTTCATGCAATTTGCAGACCACCCTGACTCAACATCTCTTTCTACACCAATAAAGTAATTAGTTTAACACTCTATTGAGAGCGCAGCTTGTTAAGATCTGTTTCTTCTCAGAAATCTGATTATGATTTCGAGCATCGCCCCCTGTTCATCGCCCCGTCTAGCCCCGAAAAGTATGCAATGGCAAAAATGTGTTTTGTTTTCTAATGAATTTTCATTGCATTTGAATTTTATGTAACCGCAACAATGGCAAATTCTATACCAGAACCGAACAAAGCAGTTATAAACCTGCAGTGCAAAAAAAATTAAAACCATAAAAAAAAGTAAATGTTGCACGCAACGCAGACATTTTGTTGCTGCCACGTTCTGCACTTGTGCATAAATACAATGGCCAAAGAAAAAAAAACACCGAAGAAACGAAGAAAGGCAAAAAGAAACGTGAATAAAGTAGAATAAAATGCAATGCAAAACTTGCAAACGGCAACAAAGGGCAACAAAACACAAGAAGCGACGAGGCGCAAAATGGCAGGGTATGCAGCAGGCGGCAGGCGGCAGGCGACAAGCGGGAGGGGCAGAGAGAAAGCAGTCAGTCAGCCACTTTGGCGTATACGTAATATAAATTTTAGGCAGGGACGATAGGGTGAGAGATAGCGAGGCGGCAGGGGGCAGGCTGCTTGGGCTGCATGCCAGCACAGGCCAAGATGTAGGTAAATGGTATTAATGGCTAGGCACCCAACAACCAGCCCCCGTCGGCACCCACCCCCTCTGAGGGCAGCAGTTGGCAAGCGTAACACAAAAATTGCTGCAATGCGACTTTTTCGCTTTGACTTTGGGGCAAGTCGTTGCATGCACGTGCGGTGTGTCTCTGTGTGTGTGTGTGTGTGTTGCCCGTAAACTAAATAACTGTTTTTTATGCTCAAATATTGCAGCACAAATCACGCGAAAATCACAGCGCGCACTCCAAAAACTTTTCGATTTAGCGGCAGCAAAAAAGAAAAATGTATATGAGTAAAACTGTTGCACATAAATTAAGTTTCGCTCGCAAATTGTCTACCAAAATGCTGCAGCTCATGAGGCACAACACCCACCGAACCTTCAGCCCCTCTTCCAATGCACTGCCTTGGCCAGGCCTTGCGGCGCCTTGCCAATTGCCAGAGGCGTGAGTAGGGGCGTGGGGCGGGGCGTGTGGCACACTCGAGCGTCATCAACACATCGTGTACGTGACTTTGCTAACAAAAATTAACAATTTCATTAGTGGGGCCACAGTTTTCTGCTGCTTCTATATTATTTTTTCTTGCCAAAGGATCAGCCGAGATACCCGCTTGTCGTAGTGTCATACTAAGGAACAATACACACACACACACACACACGAACACACAAAAAATGGCAAAGCTGAAAGGAGTGCTAGAAGCAGCAGATGGCAGCATAAAAATTGCTGCCACTTATCAAACAGACGCCACACACACACACACTCACACACTCACTCACACACGCCCACTTCCTCTTCCTGTCTGTGTGTCAAAACTAACGAACCGCGTCGACAAATCCAGCGCCACGCCCCCTGTGCTGTGTACGCTGTGTGCCCAAGTGCGATGCCGCCCACTGCAGTCATTTACAATACATCTAAAAAGGCGCTGCGTGCTGTACGTGCATCAAGTGTGCTCCAAATGCACTTCATTGCCTCACGAGACACACACACCTATTACTTAGGCTTTGTGTGTGTGTGTGTTCTACACAAAGTAAATGAAATCGCACAAGACCTGCAACAAAAAAAAATAGAGAGAAAAAATGGCTCAAAAACTGAAGACAGACATCAAAAAGCAGCAGCTCAGACGCCGCCAGCTAAAAGAGCGAGAGGGCAAGAGCGGAGGTGCGAGATGGAGAGAAAAAACACTCTGCTATTACACACATACACTCATACACACACACACACACTTGACAATCAATTGCCCAATGTAGTTTAGCTTAAATCAGATAAAAGCAAAAAAAAAAACAAAAACTTTCCAAATTTGAGTTTTGCTATCGCAACTGCGGTCCACCCTAACGAGAAGCCCCCAGGAACTATTTACAGACTCGCCTAAAGATGAGCTCGTGTCCCTTATATTCCATACACATATGACTAATATGGCTTAAAGATAAGTATGAATATGGGAATTGCCTATCACTAGATAGATGGCAGCTTCATCGATATATTTATCGATATTTGTTTAGGATATCGATATTTACTTAGGATCAAATAGAGTTGTAATCGAAATTGGATTATTCCAACAGTTTATTTTAGTTTCCGTTTCAATCGATTCTTAGCCTGTTATGTTAGTTCAACAGAATTATCGATAAATTTGGTACTTTCGAAAATACTAAATACTTTAGTTACATCATTTATTTATCGATTTTCAATGCATATGCTTTAACGATATACTAAGAATTAGTATGTTATCAAAACGAAACTTACTTATAAGTCTTTTCAATAAAGATATTGTTAAATAAATCTTTTTACATAAGTAGTTGTGTCGTCAGAGTATACTCGAAATAAGATCGTTTTAGCTAGACAGATAATTCGAATATAATTAAAAGCAATTAATCTGTTTTATTTAAACGCTTAATAACCAACTATTAGAGTCCTGTCTGTGATCCCTTGAGTTCGTGTCACGGCACATGAACACGACCCGCACACGGCTCTATTTGGAGACTCAATCTTCAGTTCCCACTTGGCTGCCGCACTCTTAATATTTCGATTTATTTGACTTGCAGAGAGGGAAGCGAAGCGAATGCCTCAGCTTAGCCAGTGCTTATAATGTGTCTCAAAAGGACGCAATGCAGTCATTTTGTTCCTCCTTCTGCCTCGGCGCAGCCTTGGGCAATTTTAAAGTCTGATGTGTGTGTGTGTGTGTGCGTGTGTGTGTTGTCTGAGCATTCAGCTAAATCTGTCAAACAGCAAATACAAACACAAAATACAAATACAAATACAAGAGTACGAAGTACAAATCCAAAGTACAAGTAAATAATAAAATCAACTTGAAATTCCGTTCGGGTTGTGTTCTCGTAATGTGCCTGAAATTGATTTTCTTTTTGCCAGACAACCAGGCATCAGGCGCAGAGGAAATGTGCACGACGGAAGCGGGAGGGGGTCGTGCGACAGCTCCTCTGAGCACACACACACACACACGTCGTTGGAGTGCATATCCTGAGGGTAAATATTTGGTCAAAATTCGTGAAGGTGTCGAAATGCTGTTTGAACTTTTTCTCCGACACAGCTGAAAAAGTTGTTGGCATTTAAAAAATAAAATGGGAGATAAAAGATAGCTGTGTTGCTTTTTGTTTGCTTTGTTTTGGTTTTTGATTTTAACAATATAAACAATTAGACAGTAAGAAAACTTACTTTTAAGCAAAAATGACTTTGAGATTTGACTCTATTCAGCTTTTCTCATTAAATGTCGTTTAGCTTTTTTCATTCCAGACACAATCTCAACAGCAACAAATGAATTTTAACCTTTGCTAAGACTTAAAACTGAGTTAAAATCCCAAAATTCCCTTCACAGAAGATACAAATAGATCATATAAAACACATCCCATATCTTACTAGAATTCAACATTCTTCCTTTCTCTTATTTTTTATTGCAGATACAAACTCATCATAGTTTTCTGAGACTGAAGACCTAATCAACTGCTAGAGACCCCTACATTGGAGTAAGAATAAATCTGCAAATAGATCATTCAAAACATAATTCAACTTTCTTTTTTGCAGAAGCAGAGTTTCCTCCAACTTAACGAACAAGCTCTTGACTCCCAGCCACTTTCTTTCTTATGACTATCTCCTCTTGTTGCACATCTTTTCCTTCTGATCCTTATTTCTTACTCAAATCCATCTTAAGCACCACACTCAGCTATGAAAAAGGTTTTCGGTATCAAATCCCAGGCCTAGTTTAAGGTATTTGCCCAAAAGCTTATCTATTCAAGTTGTTGCTGCCCCTAACCTAAAGCAGCTCCTGATTTAACTAAATGTATGCTCACTCGCAGGCTGCAGTTAACAGAAATCCGGTAACAAATTTTCAGTAAAAAGCTAATTTATTAATGCAATGATTCATGGTATTCATGGGTATTCACTTAAGTGAATATTATTGCGAGCAAAATAAAAGATGAAATAATGCCGCTAAATCAATAAAAGTTTCCAGGGCTTAAAACCAGCCGGAAAGTGTCCTTGTGCGCCTCTCAATGGCAGTTGGCGACAGTCGCTAAGTCGCTAGGCTTTACAAAATATGCCGATATCCTTCTTCTTTTTTTTTGGTATTTTTCGTAAATGTTTTCGTGTTTGCTTTTTGGACGCGTTGCATCGCTTGTTGAGGCATTTTTATTGACTTACTTTCGAGTGGCAACGGAAAAGTTTTTCCAACTATTCCACAACTTTTGGCGGCGCATCTTTATTGTTGTGTTTGTGTGTGTGTGTGCGAGTGTGCGTGTGTATGGCCGCTGCTGGTTCAAAGTTCTTAAAATATATATTTTACGATTACAAATGAGATTTATTTGCCATTTCCGGCTGCATTAGCGGAAGTGCACTGCCAACTCGAGTGTGCGGCCATAAAAATGCCAAACAGCCCCGCGAAGTTCGAATCTCGAACCACTAAACCACAAGCCCTTAGCCACTGCCTCCACACACAGCCGCACACACAAATATACACACAAACACACACACATACATTCGCATTGCATTTTTGTCGCATTAACCAACTGTTTTCTTTGCGCTTTTCGTTTAGCCAGGACAAACTTGTCAACGCAAATGGCGCGCCGCAGGACCACGCCTAATGCACTTTTGATAGGCGCCACGAGCAGCAGCAGGGGAAATGAGGGCTGGTAGAAGAAAAGCAGCAGCAGCAGCAGCAGCATCAGTTAGCAGCATGTCCAAAACAGCAGCCATTGATAAATTATCATGTGGACATCAGCCTGGAGGGGGAGCATTGGACCCGTCATCAGGTGCAGCAAATGATGCTGCATAAAAATAAAAATAACAAAAAAAAAATAAAAACTCTTTCTCTCCCCCCTGGCAGCGTAAATTTTTAATCTATTTTAAATGCGGTTTATGGTACGGTGCGACCGGATGATGGTTCACAACGACCGTGCATACTTTTAACTGGTCGGTGGGACTTTCGTCCGTTTGTAACGCCATTTGTCAACGATTTATCAAATCAGATTACAAATATCAAATGTGTTTATTTACGGTCCTAACGACGGCCCACTTATCGCTGCAACTGTTATTTTTAATGTCGTTCAATTGTCGGCTCATTAATTAGATATTAATAGAAATTAATTGTAAATGCGTTTTTAATTGTTGTTTAAAATAAAACAAATAAATCAAGCAACTTGTTAATGTTTCTGTTTTGGCTTGGATTTGATTGGCTTAAGTTGTCAAGCCAGAGCTGAGGTAAGGACACAATAAATTTCGTTATTATTCAAGACACAATACCAGGCGAACAGCAACGGCAGCTAGTTTTTATATTTTTCATGTTGACTGTGCTCGCAAACCAGAAAGCTGACAGCGCAGCACCGAGAGCTGAGGTGAAAGCTGAGCTGAGCGCTGTGGTGAATTTACGACAAGAGCTGAGCTGAAAGCTGCGCTGAGCGCTGAGCGCTGCTCACCACAAGTTCTGTTATGCTCGCGCATTCGCTTGCAGTCTGCTTGTTTATGTTCTCTCTCAACGTTCTTCCTATGTGTGCGTGTGTGCTTGCGCCCTTCGTAACAAGCGACCTTAAGCCATCTGCTGTTCATTATGTTCGCCTGGTACAACGCGTAGAAAATCAACAAATTTGGCATTAAATTGGAAATAAAGTGACCGCAGGCAAAAGTGGCATGAAAATACCAAAATTAATTAGCTGCTCAATGCTGTGTTGCTGTCGCTTTTTTCTGAACGAAATATCAGGCGCTCAGCAACGGCAAGAGATTGCTTTTATGTAAATGTTAAATATGCTTTCACTTAGGATGTGTGCGTGCAAATAGCTTAAAGCGCAGCAGAGCGTTCATAACATAATTATGCTATATTCACTGGTTCGCCTGCGTTTTCTCTACTCTTTTATTCTGAGTGCAAAAGCTTCACTCTCACATCTTTCCGCTCTCTTCTCAGTGCGAGCATTCTACAGTAAAATGAAATGAAACAACAAGATCAGAGCTGTCAGCTGCAGACGCTGTTCCCCTGGTAATTCATTAGGAAATACCACAACGAGCTTTAAATGCAATTGGAACGTAAACGGCATGACAATGAAAATTCCAATAAAGGATTTGGAACATAACGCTGACAACATAGATAATATCAAAACGGGTTTTAATTAAGTTTTGTTTTGTTTATTGATTTATTTTAATAATTGCATACTTGAAAACAATTGATAATATCGTATTTTTGTTTATCGCACTGAAACTTAACAATTAAAAAAACAGATTTATTTTTTGTTTAAATAGACAATTGGTTTCTTGGTTTCACATTGACGAGTACGTAAAATAACAAAGATTTGATGGCTTAGCCTAAACAAAACGTGGTAAATCATCAGCATCAGCAACATTATATTAACATTAAACGCATACTCAATTAATATTTTAATTTATTCATATTTTGACTGATTTTGGCAATGCATTTGCCTGCATTGACAATTGCACAATATATTTGTTTTTGTTTTTGTTTTTCGACATAACATTTAACATGCAGTTAAAATTAGATAATTGCATAAATAATTTGACTATTGACTAGGGATAAATTTGTAGTTGTATTCTTTTGCTAATTTGCTAATGTTTATATTTGGAATATATATATGTGTGTATGTGTTATATATATTTAATGCAGCATTTCAATAATAAATAGAGTTTGCAATTTGCACTGGGTGTCTACTTAAAGCATTAATTAAAACCGATTCTATAAAAATTCATTGTTAGAAGTGTTTCGGGAGGGGGGAGAGGCGTTTGCGGCGAGATTCGTGTCGTTAAGTGCGGCCGCCGCAATTCGCCGCGCAGCGATTGCTAGTGGTTTGCGTCTGAGCTAGCGACTTATCTATAGTTGGTTCTAAACTAGACTACTACAAGTTTCTTCGATTGGCAAGACAAATTCTTTCTCAATAAATAGCAAGAGTAAGAGAGACCGAGAGAGAGTGAGAAAGAAAGAAAGAGAGAGTGTATGGGGCAGCAAACGTATCTACGTTATATATAGCTCCACACAGGAGTTGCTCACAATAGGCGTGGCATTGGCCGCAGCGCTCGTGTTGCCAGTTTTCAAGGCGTGCGTTGTCCCACTTCCCGTGTGGTTTGTGTCCACGCTAAGCATTGGCGGCGACGTCGCCCTCTCAGGCTGAGCAGGCGCAGCAGCTGCAACGCCATTCACAATAGGCGCGGGAGTAGATGGCGACTGCGACGGCGGCGGCACCGCTACAGTGGCGGCCGTAATAGTTGTCGTGGCCGTTAGCTTGCTGCTGCTGCTATTGTTGGTGCTGTTACTGCTGCTGCTGCCGTTGTTGGTGCTGCTAACTGTAGGCTTTGGTGGCACAAAGGGCACGGCATTCTTGCTGGGCGTGAGTATGAGACCGGCGTTGGGTGGTGACAGCGGCGAGGGTGGAAAAAAGTCCACCGGATACTGTGAAATATATTATAATCAAAGTTACAGATATAGAATAATTGGAAATTGCAAGCGTCGAAAAATATATTTAAATTTATGGCCGTAGTATCTTGTATGACGTTTGGGGCATTTAAAAATGACAACACTTTTCCACCAATGGTTCGTCCCTGTGGTGAAATAGTGAAGATCGACAAGATTGAATATAAAGGCAACTTCCCGAAAGTGAGAAACACTTCTCAAATGTATATGCAAGAAATCCGAAAATTTTTGATTCAAGTTCGATTAGATGACAGCAAAAACATTTCACACAATAGGCTTTCACTAATTTTCCATATTTACAGGTGGAATTAGGTAAATATAGAAAAGATTTCTAGTTGTTCTAACGATTTGTTCTATAAATAAATCTCGACTCAATCAATGAGTCAGCCAATCAATCAGCTAGTACAAACATATGCATATGCCTACTCACCATAGCCTGGTGCTGTGAGGGCGAATGGGCGCCCGGTTGGCTGTAGTAGGTGGTGGGCGAAACGGGCGGACTGGGATACGGCCAGTAGACCAGCGGCGGCGGATAAAATGCCGACGCATGATGATGATGATGATGATGATGGGCATGGGCGTGGGCGTGGGCATGAGCGTGATGAGCACGCGGCGTGGCCAGCAGCGGGGTATGCGGCGGCGGCGGCGGCGCGCCATAAGCCGGAAAATGTGCACCAAAATGAGCACCCAGCACAGTAGTACCTACAGAAGGAAAAGTAAATAAATTAATAATTGGAAATAATTGCTAGAAATTAAACTTAAAGTACAACAACATATATCTGAAAGTCAGTGTTGTGAGTATGGCTGGGTATACTATATTTTTTTTCTGAACTAGAATAGATTGTTAGTCTGAAGAAAGCCAAAACAAATGCAGACTCCAAAAAAGGGAAGCAAACACAAAAAGGTTTTAGAAAATAGACACGTTGCGTATGCAACTGACTTGAGTTAGTATTATTAAATATTGTTGTAGTTGTAGTTAGGGTTAGTTCGATTGTTAATTTTTGCTTAATATTATTTTGTTTTTCGGCTTTTAATTCAAGTTAAGTATAATCGTATTCAAAAACACTCACCGTTTAGACATTTGCAAAATATGGTAGAGTAGACATGTAGTATAAAGTAATTGTAATTTGATTTTGAAGATATGTATGTAATATCAGTATATATGCACATATATATATATATATATATATATATATATATATATATATATATATATATATTTACCACTTTACCCAGAGACCATGAATACATTTTGCGCACATAGTAAACTTAAGTACATGTTTTTATCCCGATCAGTTTTTTGTTTTGTTTTTGTTTAATCCAAGCACCAACCAGCCTTCAAAAATGTAAAAAAAATTAAAAAGAAACCAACAACACACACAGCTGGACCATTGACAACAACGACGGCGTATGAGTAAAGATTCGAGTTATCGTTATCGTTATCGTAACATATATATGCAATTACGGTTAGGTCTAGGAGAGCACAACCAGTTCCTCAACGGGTTACACAAAAGCAGCAGAGGACCCATTATGGTTATCGATAATATATCGATTTTTATTTATATGCTAATCGATAGCTAATCGATTACCGATCAATTGCTTGCCGACAATATATCGATTGACAGCTCATTGATGGAAAGTCGATAAGTTATCGATTGCTTGATAGTTTATTAGTCGATAGCTCGACGTTGCTTTTTTGTGTGTTACATACAAGATGCGTGTTTCTATAGAATAGCGCTAGGTGGTATTACGGATTACGTTTTACATTTTACTTTTTATGACTCCACATTTCACTTAAGACGTTACGCAGTTGCCCTCACACACACAGTATAATATTATAAAGAGAGACATAATATAAACCATGAATTTCCAATGCAAACATCAGAAAAATTTTAAAAAATTAAAAAATTTTAAAATTTCAAAATTTTAAAAAGTGGCAACTCGTAACGCCGTCCAAAAAAATTAAGCACCCGCTGTGGCCACAGAGAACAGAGCCCTAAGAGGATGTGCCTGAAAATACGTATAAAGCTAGACCCAAGCCCAAACCCAAGAGTTACAAATACATGTGTATATCTCAGCTGAGAGGGATGAGTGGGAAAGAGTGTGTGAAAAGTAAAGACAAAGTGGGGGAAGGAAATTTAAAGAGCAGCTAGACAGAGCAAACGATAGTACAATGTCGACTGTCAGCAAAACTTATCGATTAAAAAAAAATTATAAATTTTTCTACATTAGGGCAAATATAGCCGAAAATTAAAGTGTTGTACACACACATATATATATATATAGAGAGAGAGAGAACTTTAGATTGAGGTTATGTTGCATGAGAATCGCAGAGGGAGGGCGAAGTAGAGAGAATGTGAATTGCGAGCATTATTTATAGATAAGAATGTAGCGATATGTATATTTATTGAAGTATAAAAATTTTTGTAATAAAAGTTTCGATTGTCTTTAGACTAAGCATTAAAAAAATTATGAAATATCAAAATTTGTTTGTTTTTTTTTTTTTGTTTTGTGTTTTTTGTGCGCTAAAAACTAATTAAGTTAATCAAAATGTATTTTGTATTATAATTGTTATTAATAAAATTGTTTTTTTAAGTGGCTGCTTATGAGTTTTATTTTTTTTATGGAAGCCATAGATCGTAAATGTATGTATTGCAAAAACCCATGGGAAACCACTCGATTGTCGTATGAACTAAAAGTTAACTAACAATAAAACTAGATGCTAAGCTATGAAAATCTTTCCCATGCTTTAAATCTGTATCCATTTTATTTTATATATAGAAATGCAAGAAGCAGCGCAAAACTGTTTGTTAGACGCAGAAGAGGAGTTAGGATCTGTAAAAGTTTTTTTGTTGACTCTCTGCTTGGACCGATTCTGGATTATTATAGCGCGTTCTACACACATTGAAGGTGTAACTAAGTGGCCACAAAATACACACAACCCAAGGACAATGACAGACATACTATATAATCGTATTTTGTAGATATATACTTAGAGCATAAACCCAAAAAATATCCATAACCATATATGTATTTTATCAGATCAGATGTAGACACTAAAGCGCTAAGAAACGTACAAATGATAAAAAGCAATTTGGACTTATCCCTTCTTGATATCCAGAGATATTTATGTATATATGTATATAGGCGTATATACGAGTGAGTATATAGAGCCAAAGACAGAGAGGGGGAGAAAGAAAAAGGGGGAGAGAGAGTTGTCAGAGTTTTGACTATAAACTAAAATTAGTGATGACAGAGAACACACAAAGTAAATTCAAAGTTGATATATGTATATCGATAAGAATTCCAATTTGCGACTAACACCAGTTACGCACACTTATCGGCTAATGGTATACATATAACGATTTACGATAAGCTATATATAAATATATATATATATTCATTCATTAAAAAGTTTCCAAAATCAAATTCAAATTCCATTTATAAATGAGTTTTGAGTGTTAGAAGTCGGCAACAGCGGACATTGCGATCTATGCTAACCAATAATGAGTATATGTGGATATATAGTAGATCGTGATTACATATAGGAAAGTACACAGATAAATGTTTGAATGTGTTTTTTCATTTTCGTATAGATCGCAATGCCCCGTCTGTGGCAGCAGCTGTGGACACAGGAAAAGTTTTCTAATGCTTAGTTCAAATATTAATCAAAAATGTTTTGTGTAACCAACCAATTTTACAAGTTGTACGTCTTAAAAGCTAGGATATTGTTTTCCATTATTATTATTATTATTATATATATATATATATATGGTATATATGTTTTAATCTAGTCTAAACTTTTAACAGTTTCGGGGCAGGGATTTCGATTTATTGTTGTTGCACATTTCGATTTAGCTTTAAATTTGTTTAAATTTTTCAAATTTTGTTTACGCATGAGCCAACACCTGACGCCCTTCAGGCAGTGAGCATGTGTGTGTGTGTGTGTGTGTGTGCGTATCTGGTGTATGCCTATGCTTAAATATTAATTTATAAATTGCACTTGATGGGCGTGGCACACACGCTCACACACACACACACACACACACTCACAGAGGTAAACAGGCAACGCTCGCTGCTTGAAGGACATTAGCCTCTGTTGTTGAAGTAGCGTTTCACACACACACGGTACAGTTCACTAAACAGACACACGCACACACACCCCACTCACCCACACACACACACACACACACAAGCACATACACAATACAATACAGAGCAGTGTTAAGTATTATATAGATTAGATTCATAAACTTACGAATCAGCTGCATTAAATTTTAGTTTACAAACAATTTGGAATAGTCCAGGATAAAACGAAAACAATTTTTTGTTGCACATTTTTGTTAGCTTGCCCGGGTGTGTTGTGGGTGGTGGGTGTGAGTAGTGTATGTGTGTGTTTGTGGGTGTGTGTGTGTGTGTGTGTGCAGTATGTGTGCGTGTTTGTGTGCAATGCTTAGACCTTAGACAAAAGGCTTAAAAGTATTTCCGTTTACTTTTCGCTTGAATTTGTAAAAGACTTAGACTTACGACTACGAAATTTCACTATAAAAATTTACAATAAAAAAAACGAATTTAAGCGCTAACAAAATGTCTGATATGTGTATGTGTGTGTGTGTGTGTGTGGCCAAGATGAGCTATGGTATTTATGTATATGGATTGCATTTTTTGCCACTCAAGATGCATTGCAAACATTGTCGCCTGATAAAAGAAGAGGCTCAATTTGATAAGCGTCAATCAATCGATCTTGATTGATAACGAACAAAAAATATGTTAAGCCTTGGAATGTGCTTGAAGTGTCGGAGTGTCATTTATGTAAAAATTGACCAATCAATCATGATTGATAAAATACAAATAAAAGTTGCTTTTACTTGAAGCGTTTTATTTCTTTTTCGCAATCAAAAATGATTGAGAATAAATCAAAATGACTTGGAGTGTGCTGAAAGTGTTGGAGTTTCACATCATTCAAATGTGATTGATAAAGAACAACCAAAAAGCTCCAAGTGCCCAAATGGAATATGTTTGAAAAGCTGCAGTTTCAACAATCACCCATGATTGATAACAGACAGAACCAGTCGAAATGAGCTTGAAGTCAATCAAGCCATCAATCATGATTAAGCCCCACTAAATGCCCGGATTATAGTAAGAGTAAACGCTGCTTGGCGCTCGGGTCAAAGCACGCTTGGCAGCACTTGCTGCAGCCGCTGCTCCAGTCGGATCCTGCTGAAAGGCATTCTCATAGGAGCGCTTCATGGAATGTGATTGAAGCGCCAAGGCGGCATTGTTAGCGGCACTCGCGGCCCCAGCTGCACTGGCACTCTGTGCGGCCGAGCTGGCGCCGGCGAACTGATAGCCCCCCGCGGTGGGCATGTAGCCCAGCTGAAAGGGCTGCAGATAGGGTCGCTGCATGAGCACAAATTGCGGCTGGCCGCCCATGGCAGCGGCAGCGGCGGCGCCCGGATGCTGCATATAGAGCGGATGGTGCTGCAGCATTTGGGCATTTGCATAGAGCTGATGATGCTGCTGCTCCGCGGCCACAGCGGCCGCCTGTTGACGCGCGAGCAGACTCTGCTGCGCTATAAACTGTGCCTGCTGTTGGGCGAGCAGCGCCGGATTGGAAGCGGCGGCTGCCGAATGACCGCCAGCCAGGGGCGGCAGCGAGAGATTAAAGGCATAGCCGGCATGTGCCGCTGAGAGGCCACCCTGGGCCAAGCCACTGCTGGACAGTGAGCCCAGCGAGGAGTGACTGGATATGGTGGCCGTGGGCGAGGCCGTCATAAAGCCGGCTAGACCGCTCGCCGTGCCGGCGGTGAGCGGTGCATGTGAGGTGGCGCCCAGCATGGAGGCAGCAGCGGCGGCAGCGGCCACCGGCGATGTTTGCAAAGCATGATGAGCAGCTGCAGCAGCTGCGGCCGCGGCAGCGGCATGTGTGTGTGCGTGCGCATGCGTGTGTGAATGTGAGTGTGCGTGTGTATGGGAGTGTGAGCCGATGCCCTGAGCGCCGGTGGGTGGCGGCGGCGGTTGAGCTAACATACCCGGAGAGAGCAGCGATGGCTGTTTGCCCGCAGCGGCGGCGGCAGCAGCAGCAGCAGCAGCGGCGGCGGCAGCGGCCAAATGCGCATGGCCCGGATGCGGCGGCGGTGCCACTGGCGAGCCGAGGCCGCCATTGAGCACATGATTCATATCATCGCCGGAGCACTGAAAGACCTCAATGTAGCGAAACTTCTTGCCGAAGACCATGAACTGATTGTGCTTGCGCTGGGCGCACAGCCGGGCCGAATCCTCGGAGTCCATTTGAATAAAGGCCTCTCCGCTGGGCTGGCCCTAAGAGACAGCGAAACGAATTTAAGTGACAGGCAGAGGGTATATTTATTGAGATTCCTGCTCACCTGGGCATTGATGACCATATGCACGCCCTGGTAGATGATGTGCTTGGCAAAGTCGTCCAGAAAGTGCAAGATATGCTCCACCATGGCCTCGTAGGGCAGGCCGCGCAGCCGTATGCAGTTCTTGGTGGTGCCCGAGGTGATGAGATGCTGTGGGGCATGGGTAAGTTGAGGGCACAGGTTAGCGTGGCTAGCGTTAGCTGTCAGCGGGTTGAGGGCGTGGCCAGCGGCGGCACCCACCTGCGGCAGCAACGGCAACTGCATGGTGGGCAACTGTGCTATCAACGGCGGCTGGCCATGATTGTTCGACTCATAGGTCTTCGGGTCCATCGATCGATTGAGCACCTGCTGCACCTCCGCGGTCGTCGACCGAAACAGCTCAATATACCGTTGGCCAATGGACTCGCGATGCCGTCCCAGCGCCTTGGACGAATCACTCTCATTGGCGAACAGCACAAAGGCATCGCCAGTGGCGCGTCCATCGGGTTTCTTTACAAACAGAACGCCCTCATTGCCGTCGAGCACATGGCACGGCGCCTCGCCAGTGGTAAAGAAGTCCAGCTGCAAATGACAGAGAGACAGTAGGGAAAGAGAGCGCGGGAGGGAAAGTAACAGAGAGAGATAAAGTATGAGTACACTCGGATTAATCAGTTTAAAATTTCTAAAACTGAACAAGGAATTCCACTTTAAGACTTTTTTTAAATCAAAATTTTCATAAATTCTAAACTGTGATATTGAATTGTTGTGGTAAAATGAACAGCACTTTTGCAAGCATGCAAATTCTTATTAAATATACATTTTCACTTATTTCTAGCATGCAAATTCTTGTTAATGTTATGTTATACCTCATTCAAGCATATTTTTATTAATTTTATAGCTATAACAAACATTATTACTTTATTTGAGATTAATCGTCAGCTTGCAATCTAATCTTAAAACTACCTGAAATCTAACCCTATATGCAAAGAATTTGAACCGGCATTTTTGCTCTGAGCATAGCATTCGAGAGCTCGGCCGCACTTACCACTTGCTTGGGCGTACAATCGTAGGGCAGACCGCGCATGCGTATTATCACCTGGGCGCCCTTGGAGAGGAACGCCTGCGCCTCGTTGGATGCACCGCCGGCTATGGCCAGAAAGTCTTCGCCCGAGGCGCGATACACCTCAATATAGCGGGAGCCAATGTGATGTTTGTGCCGTTTCAGTGCCATGTCGCGGTGCTCCTGGGAAACAAAGCGTATCAATGCCTCACCGTTGCGCCGGCCCAGCTGCGACAGACACAGAGCAACGCCGCCTCTGCAGGAGAGAGAGAGAGAGCAATAGATAGAGAGAAGTCGAGTGAGAAGAATTTCAAGCAGTTGAGGAACGTTTTTGTAGAAGCATATGATAAAGAAAAATCTGGTATGTAGCAAAGAATTTCATCTGGCGTCAGATAATCTGCCGCCGACCCGCTGAACTTTGATAAGCGACGGGGCCAGCGCACAGCTTATCAATGGGTTACGTCGATCTATTTCAAATACCCTCGCAGCGGGTCTGACGAATTTATCACGAAACATGTAACGCATTAAACTGCATTTTTTATTTTTATGTGAAGTTGACGAACTTGGAAATGATCAGACTTAAATAGCATATAGCTGCCATGGGGCCGATTACTTGACAGTTGATTTCTTTTATTTATAAAGTCTTGCTATTTAACGTCTGGTATGTAAGGGTATGTAATATTCGTCTCTTTGCGATTTCTACTCACTTGGCTACGTTGAGTCCACGAAAGAACTTGGCAATATCCTGATCGCTGCTCTGCCAGGGCAAACCACGGGCACGCACAATGCAATTGCCGTCCACCTCGTCGTCAATTGAGCTGTAAAAGAGGTAAGGCAAAGCGAAAAAAGAAAAGTTCCAGGAAACAAATTTGATTACAGTTTACAATTTCATTCGATTTCGTAGAATAGTAAGGGGAGCTGAGAGCTCTATTTACCAGACCCTGCTTAGACCCTAAAGCTGCGCCTTAGTTATGCAACGGGTCTAGACTTGGGCGTCTTTGGACTTGTTATATAGTTCTTTTTGTTTTTTGTTTTTCGTTTAAGTTTCTTGTCTCAAGTCACGTTTCGTTTTTCAAGAACATAAACATTTATTTGCTGACTTTTCACACACACACAAGCACACAGGCATTCGCACAGACAGAGTCCGTCAGAACAAAAACAAATAAAAACATGAATAATCAAAAGAAGCAGCGACTGCACAAAAAAAGTACAAATTGTAAAAAAAAAAATAATCAAAATTTACAGTCTGAATGTTTTGCACTGATTTGCTTTACCTGGCGACTAATTGCAATTAATTTTAATGGGTTTTTTTGCTCTTGGCTATGCCTGGGCTGGGCACAGTTTTCTATGTAAACTTCCACTCTGGATGTGACACACTTATGATTGTAGCCAAAGGCAAAGGTTTGTTTTCTTCTCTCGCTCTTCTTTGGCGATAACAATAGTCACAATTCATCGGCGGTTCACAATTCGATGCGTTTCCTATTCTCAATACTCGAAAGATCTTCCGTTCCCCGTGTACGAGTTCTTATCGCGGCCCGATCCAATCGCTGACTGAGCCGCTTTTCGCTCCAGCCACGATCCATTCCGCGATTTTGTCGCGACGCATCGCTCACAGTTCTGAGTAACATTTTTTAATGCTTTTTTTTAATATTATTTCTTTTTTTTGTGTATTTGAGTGTATTTTGAGTTGGGACTCGAAATAGTGCAGACCTTAACACAAATTTGGTGGAGTGCAGCCTCTCAGGTTGGAACTCTGATTCGAACTGAGTTTGAGTGTTACTCATTATTGTTCGAGTGAGTGAGTGTTTGAGTGTCGTGAATTGAAGCGAGGGCAGGTAATAAAGAACAAGAGTCTCGAACAACGTCAGACTCTCAAGTAATGTGTGGCTTATCAATCTATTTGATTGTCCTTTTCTTTAGATAGTACTCATTGTCTATTGTCTATTGTAACTGGTATCGATAATATATCTTGACAACATCTTTACAACTGATAATAGCTTAGGTAAGTCCTATTTCCACTTTGAATCTATCAGCTTTTCTGGCTTAAGTCAGTCGCATTAATTGCGCTTGCAATTTAGAAAATAATTTCATCTTGAACTCAAATATCTGTGAATGCTGCCTTTACAAATTATATTTAATTTGATATCTTTTCTACAGTTTATGTTATTAGATAATAATTATCTATAGATATATTAACATGAGTCCATGCTTCTCTATGGCAATATTTTCAAGCCTATTTAGTGTTTTAATAATTATTCCAATTTGGAAAATTTCAAATATTCATTGTATCTTTAGCCTTAAGTCTATGTCTATTTCCTTGAAAAACTATCGAATCAGATTCTAGACACTGAAATCTTAAAATCAATGTATCTGTACTGAAATCAAGTAAAAGCTTATCGAAATCCGGTGTCGGTCGAAATTTTATAAACTATAAACGAAATTCCCTTTCCAAGAACTATTTTATTCCGAAGTTAGTATGTTATTTGAAGAACTTTCTAAGACCCGAACTTTCCAAATACTCGACTCGTGTGCTGACCAAAGAATTGTAAAAATAATTTGAACTCAGTCCGTTTTACACTTATTTAAAGTATGCAAATTCATGTGAAAAGATTTTGGTCAATTTTAAATTCAGGAATGATTCGAATCTTTTCAAAGATATTCAAGAATGAAATGTATTCATGAATGAAATGTACTCGAAATCATAAGAGAAAAATTGTGTGAATATACCGATCATACTAGAATGACTAACAAAACCAATTGATATCAGTTTATTACAGCTAAGACAATATCCTTAACTTAATATTAGACCAATATTTATTTACTTCTATTCAGGAACTCATCCTTATTTCATATCGAATCACAAGGCTTTGCTTAACCGTCTTTAACCTAAAAACTCAACTTACCAAATGCCAGGTTCCAGTATTAGATTAACGAGCTCATTTGTATCAAATTTATGACCTACAGAAAAAAGGTTTGCTCTTTAGTATTAAAACTCTTGCAAATCTTCTCATAACGAGACTCACCCGCCTGGAGCAATGTTTGAATCACAGTGACCATATCGCGAGATTCGCGTATATAGAAATCATTATCTTCCACAGACGCTGCACTGAGCTCTACAAAGAAAAGTTATGGAACTGTTATCGAAGAGAAAGAGGGCGGAAAGAAGCAACAAGGCAGACTCACCTTTAAGCATTTCACCAATCGACTGCGGCATGGGCAAAACGGGTGACTGCAGCATCTTCTTGATGTCCTTCAGTGGCACCAGGGCACGCGATAGATCCCCCGACTTGTAGCGCTGAAACTCCTTGCGCAGATCGCTGAATCTGTTGTAGTAGGCAGGCAGCTCAATGTCCTTGGCGCTGGCCTCCCGATGCAGGCACTGGCGCAACGGCAGCTGCCCATCGGTGATCAGTTTAATCTCCGTATCGTGCAGAGATAGAGAGCGTAAATAGGCATCGAACTATGGAAAAAACACATGTACAAGAGAGGTACATTTTATACTTGATACTGGAACTAATCCGAAACAACATACTATATTATACTAGCAGGTAATACCCGACAGTTTCCGGTCTGGGTATTTTGTATTATATTAAAAATCTGTTTGCCCCATTTCTGCCTAAGGTTGGAGTTTCCAAAATCTTAGAAACGCGCTTTAAATATAGATAACAAGCAGATCGAATGAAAAGGGAACCTTCGCCCATATAAGATTTCACCAATTTGCACCCGAAATGGGAAATATCTTGAATATGAAAGCATATCAGATCGTGCTGCTCAACAGCAATTCACAAATGTTCTAGTCTTTTCGAAAACAAATACTTATAATATTTGACTCATATACCTTGAAAAATATGATATATTTTAAAGAAATTATTTGTTAGTTGAGAGAACGCTCCAAAAAAAGAAACACATAAAAATAATATATTCATAGATATTAGCTGATATTTGAAATGTCGCTGAATATAATCCACAGTCAAAGAGTAAAGTTCAATGGTTCACTCCGACGAAAGGTTTTATGGGGATTATTCGGCTTTATGTAAATTCATTTTGCATACGTTTCTAGGTTACAAATGCAGTTTGCTTAAACCCGTTTAGTATCTGTTTTTGTTGCTTTTCTTGCTGCAATTATTTTCAATTAAATGGAATAAGCAACAACAACAATAACAAATTGTTTAGCTACAGTTTTAGCCATGTCATCGTGAGTAAATATAACAAGCAGCTTTATGTCGCATTAGTCGCATCTCTGACGTATCTGTGAATGGAGCTGCCATATCTCAGCTGGCTAAACCCTTTGTAGAGGCCACAAAGGTTTGCCCCCTGGGCAAATACTTGCCGTAGCAACATTCTGGCCATTTAATAGCCATCTGTTTATTGACCAAGCAAATTAGTATGCCAGCCAAGGCAGGCACACACAATAGCCAGCACTTCTCTCGCCCTTCTCTCGCTTATTCTCTGAGCTGGCATTACATCACGTGTTGCTTACGGATCTGATGCCGCAGTTGAGTTGCCAAAGATGCACTTCCATATAATATAATCCTATGACATCTAATTGGCATAGCTCATAGCCGTCTACACACTATATAAAATAGATTAATGATACCCAGGTGCAGAGTACAACAACACCTTAATGATCTCGGTTAGTTAGGCACACACTCCACAGATTACAGTTACTGGGTTCATTAAGACTTCTAGTCGGAGGTCACGCCATCTACTTTATTCAATTGGTTTAGTATTGGCTATAATGTTTGCTTCGTTCTCGGAAGGGGCGAAACATGTCCCACGAGTTACTGAAGACTTAACAACCTTGTATAGTATATATCCTCGTGTAGATATCTATACTGAAATGATGCTGTCTGATCTTACAGCGATTAGCTCAACTATTTTGTCTTTTTAACTTGTAGAACCAATATATAATTTCAGATGCTTTGATTTTTAACATTCCAAAATGCAGTCTCTGCAACAAATCTAATCAGCATGGATTATAATCCTAGCGTTTAGATCAAAAGAAGAGAGGCATATATATCTAGTTGTTTTCATTTTAGATAATATATATATGTATATACACCTAATTTCCCTTTAAATGCATTATACATATACGTGACATATTTATACAAAACTATAACACATACTGCACCCAAGTTTACAGAACTCATTCTGAAACTGCGAGAACCTTTATCTGAAACATCTACTTGGTTCTACATAAGTATTTACCCCAAAAGAGCTTACATTTCCGTAATGACAACGTTAAAGGGCTGGCCGGGTGCCAGGGGCTTGTCAAAATACTCAAGTAGCGCACTGTTGCTTATCAGAGACTGTGATAAGATTCCAGGTCGAACGCTCCGGCACAGCTCCCAATCAGTGGCGCTGGCCAGGGCTAAATACTATATGGGAAAATGCAATCCCCAATGACTCGACAAGAAGAACCATCCAAACTATTCCAGTCAGCATGAATTATTGATTCACTAATTTTCTTCGATTATCTACAGATGGGTTAACTAACCCGTCTTGAACCAAAGGCTGTGACAGGTTGAGATCTGACCCGCAGCTCAGTTGGAAATATCACGTGAACTAAATATAGAGCTCTACCTCTCTCATTTTCAGTCTCACTCCCCCACTCTCTCTTTCTCTCTCTCTCTGTCCTTGTCTCGCTCTCTATCTCTCTCTCTCTTTCTTTCTCTCTCTCTCTCTCTCTCTCTCTCACTCTCTCTCACTCTCTCTCACTCTCACTCACTATCTTTCTCGCTCTCTCTATCTCTGTTGGACTAATCTTATCTGAAGTGACTCCCACGCGCGATAAGCGGATGGTAATGTGCTCCCCACTTTTCATCTCCCACTCTGACCCACACATTTTCCATTCCTCTCCATTGACCTACCTCTGCATTTACTTTTCATTATCTTCTCTCAATCTTTCACCTCTTATATTTTTCTTCTTCTTCGCACTTTCTTAACCTTTCCATCGCCTTAAGTCACACTCTTCTCTTCTTGCCTTTCTTTTACATTTTTCTACTTATATTCTTCCCATGTATCCCTTTTTTACTATCATAGTCCCCTGGTTCTTTTCTTCTACTTTTCTCCTATTTCCACTATTTCTTCCAGCTTATCAATCATTTTGTCCTGTTTCTCTTCTCCTTATCTCCTATATGCCTGCTCTATCCTTATTCCCTATTCTATCATCCTCCTAAATTTCTCTCTTACTTATCTCACTCTTATCTCCTTATCCGTAACCGTTCTTTGTCCCTTACCCTTAACACCTCTTCTATACTTTTTCAATTTGCAATTCTCGCCCACTTTTTTTGTCTCTTTCTTTCTCCAACCATACACCTCCCTCTCTCTCTCTTTTTCGCATTCATCTTCCACCTACCTCTTCGATAGCCTCGGTGAGCGGCTTGCCAGCAGCTTGAGCCTCGGCAATGGGCAATATGAGTTCGCTGCTGTTCTCCAAGGTGCTCAGACATATGCCGTTTGTGGCGCTGTTCCCGCTGCTTCCGCTCGCATTTGTGATGTTATTCGTTGTAATGTTGTTGTTATTATTATTATTGTTGTTAATATTTGAGCTATTATCGCCAGCATAGCCAATGGCTAGAGGCGGCGAGCAGGCTGTGTTGTTTGTAGCATTCGAGTTGTCCGATGAGCTAGATATGGTGCGATCCTTAATGAAGTAGCCATCAGGCCGTACGAGTATTTGTTTGGTGCCAATGATCTGAGAAGGATGAAGAAACGGAAAAAGTTAGAAACAATAATAACAAACAATTACAATGGGCATATTCTTAAAAAAGAAAAATTTGTTCATACGTACAGAGATGGAACTAAACCCTAACTTCGGCTCGGGTAAATTTAATCAAGAGCAAAAAAGTTTCTCATTCTAGAACTTACTATTACAGCGATTTTTCCAATAACAGCTTTCAAATAGCAAATAAACAAACCTATTAAAACTTAGATACAATCGATCCATTTAATTTTTCTTAACAATATCATACTATCTGGAGCCAGACATATCTAATTCAATGTATTACACAATCCGCGACAAAAGCACAATAGCCAACGCAACAGTGTTAAAAATCAGCACTTTGCTACCAACTTACGCCTGATAAGCCGGCGTATTCAAATATAAAAAAACTAACTATAATTTGATTAGCCCCCTCCGAACCGTGCCCACAATCTGCAACACGAATATCAGTATTAAACGTTATCGCTAGATAGTGCACCTGGCACTATCCGACTTGGTATTCGAGCACCTTGGGGCAGAACGTCCCTCAGTGATTCACCCAGTCGTTGCCTGGCATTTTAATCAAGGTGCAAGAGCAGAGCCACAAAAAACTGTTTAACATATTACAAAAAAAAAAATAAAATAAAAACGAAGAAAAAGGAGGACGCTCCACATTGACAGAGGGCCTACAGTCCGGCGCTTGCGTCAGCGGATATGTATGATCGGAATCGGAATCGGAATTGGGTATTGGGAATTGGAAATCGGGCATTGGAAATTAGAAATGGAGAATCGACTGTGCCTGTGACTGTGCCTGTGACTGCAGGTAGCTGGCCGAGTATGCAAAATAACAGCGAAAACTAAACATGTAGTAAACTGTCTTTGGAATTTTTTCGGATTACTGATTTCTGACTTCTGATGCCATCGATTTGCATAGCTTTTGAATATATAACGATCCATGGGGGCTACATACAGACCACTGGGCATATATATGTATGCATATACACTTTATTTTTGAAACACTACGTAGGATTCCGCACGCAAATGCTGTATGAAATATTTATGAGATTGCCTGATGTTAAATTCAACAAGAAAAACAAACAAACATGGAATGAAAGCGAGGAAAAAAGATTTCCTCACACTCTCGGCACCAAGGGGGTTACAACTGGGGTTAGGCCCGATGCTAATTATGCGCAACGAGCCAGACAGAGGGGCAGAGAGACATAGACAGAGAGCGAGAGAGCGAGAAAGGAGAGAAAGGTGGAGCATTTTGTCATATATTAAACATTCACAATTGTGGAAAATTTAGAGCACAACGTATTGACCCATTGAATAAAAAATAGTTAGATATATGTATGATAATAAAAACCGGAATATCTACGGCTAATAAACTAAACGACTAATAAACAGAGCCGCGGTTTCTAGATCAATGAAAACGTGCCAACTGGGCCAGTTCTGTGTTGCGTGCCCCGTGCCGCGCTCCGAGTGAAAACTCAATGAAATTAACTGAATGTCAATGCAGAACGAAGTCTTGGCCTGGCCTTGAAGTTGTTTTTATTCTTTATAGCTGAAACTTAGATAAGGCTGCAGGCTGAAGATTTAGACCAGGCTTTGGCTAAAGGCACAAAAAAAAGGGGGGGGGAAAAATCAAAGCAAATGCAAGTTGCACTCTTTGTGTTTTCCCCTCCAACAGAGATACAGACAAATGTTAATTAACTTTAATTGTTGCCATTCGAGTCATAACTAGCCTGTAATTAACATGCCAATTACTATTGCAGTGTGTGTATTTGGTGTGTGTGCGTGTGTGTTGTGTATCTGTCAATTCAACGCAATTTTGCTGTTGCAAGAAATCTGTAACACTTGGCCTATAAACTGGCTAAAAAAGATAGAGTGAGCGAGACAGAGGGGGAGGGAGAGAGAGAGAGTGCACTACGTTTGCACGAGAGGAAGTTTTCGCGCGGAAGGAAACTCTTGACAGATTTTTCTTTTTTAGAAAGCCAACAATTTGGCACTGTCAATTGGCTGTCCGAACGGGTTCAATAAACTCAACAGCAATTTAAGCAAATTTAACTAATGGCAGCTTAAGCTTAAGATGAGCTAACATGCGCTGATCTCATCGGAAAGTAAGATACCATTATGGAAAAAAAACGCTTGGAAGTATAATCATATATGTGGAGGAGCAGAGCAGATTAGTAGAATAGGTCAACTGAAAAGCTAGACGAATTGAAAAGGAGTTCACACTCGTGTACAGCTTAAAATTAAGAAAAACAACTAAGAGTGTCCTACTATGGGATTACCTGAATCTTGTTCTACTCAAGCTAAAGGTGGGGGTGAAATATACATGATATGTACATGACATAGTAAGTGTTACAAGTCGCCTTCGGTGACTCTAGCTTTTGAAACCTAAGATAGATAATCAGGGACCAGCATTTCGATATCGATTTTTCTCGTTTATGGAATCGAGGCAAGTCATCGATGCGTGGGTAATCGGTGGAATTACGTTTCAATTCGCTGGCTCTGATAGGTTTAGAGATTGACGCGTTTATACATACGGACAGACGAACAGATGGACAGACGGACAGACCAAAGGATATAGCGGACGGACAGACAAAAGGATATCGCTAGATCGGCTCAACTATTGTGCTGATCAAGTATATATGCTTCCTTCTGCCTATTACATACATTTGCACAAAACTTTTATACACTTTTTCTCTATTGTTAATGGGTTCACGGTACTTAAATATTTTTCGGACATGCAATAGATACGACGTCAGCAAACCTTGTATGACAGATTTTTTATGTTTGAGAATGCAGTGTTTCGATATTTATGAAAACTAGCAGAGATGTTGAATGAAGCTCTTAAAAGGAAAGATTGATAATACATTTTGGAAAGATGAGCTATTAAAAAAGTTGTCAAACCCAGCCCTATATTTGTGGTGAAAAATACAGAGCGACAGACATAACTATGTATTTATTTATGTAATTCATGCATATACCATAAGCATTTGCCCAACTTTACAGATTTTATATCTATTAACTACAAGGTTTTAGATATTCTAGAATTTTCACAACGCTTTGGGCAGGACTCTGAGGCTTAAAGAAATAAGAAATGAAAAAACTGAAAGGACAGTTAGGAGGAAATCAAAAATGAATTTAAAATGATCTTGAGTACAACAAGAGAACTTCAGCTATATACTTATATCTTTGATCATAAGACAAGCACAAGTAAATTAGAAGACTCCTAAGCCCATATGTCAGCATTGCAGTCAATTTTACGGCAATTGAGAATCTAAAGTTTCTGCAATCTCACGCAAACTCATCATATCACTCGATTGTCACATTGTAAGCCCAGCGATAAGGAAGCTACCAACTGATTTATAACGAGGGCAAACATGACTTTCATCGAATTTGAATTCTAATCAACACAATGTGCCCAGCCAAAATTGTGGAACCTGCGCTCTATTTGGCAGGTTAATTGCATATCGAAATCAAGAAATAATATTTAACAAAAAATAGTCATGTCAATGCCAGACACATAGACAGAGAGGGCTGCCAATTATTATATTTTCATACTATTTGGGCATTGGCTGTGCGTCAGCTTGCCCAGCACTGACAGCTCTTTTTCCAGCCGATAAACAAGCGTATGTTGCAGCAATTTGAAAGCGTTTTTTTTTTTGGTTATGGTCGGGGCAATTCTATACTCTTTATAGCTATTTCATAAGCCATTAAGACTAAAGCTAAAACCCTCTGTGGGCAGTTAAGAGCTGTTTGTTGGCGATGCCGTTGCGGCTGAGTGCGTTTAGTTTAGTATAAGAATACCCTGTGCCTACTAAATGATCTAAGAGGGGTATTATGCTGCATGTAATATGCAAAGGAAGTTTTACAACTATAACAATTGATTGTGTTCTCCTCTATGTACTATATAGGCCTCATGCGCATGATCTCAGCAACAGATGTGCCAAATTTTGTATAATCATTTAGCAATATATTATGCATTCCTAAAAAAAAGGTAATTATCTCCCCATTTCTTGAGTGAAACCCAAAACCTCTATGGAGCCCAAAAACAAGCCCATTTTGAAAGATATTTTCCTAAAAATTTGTTATACGCACATCTCGCGTTTATGTTCTATTAGTTATTAAATCAAAGCGTTTGCATACCAAATATTCAAATTATTCGAAAAAAATTTGGCAATCTCGAGTATTTGCTGGTCGAGCGCACTTATCGAAAGATTTTAACTCGTTTTAAGTGTGTTTTGCTGAGAGATTTTAACAGTTTTCGTTGTTAAAAGCCAACAAATCAAACGGATGACATCTGGGCGTTCAGTCGGCAAATGCGTCCAGCCCATAAATATATATATATATATATATATATATATGAATTTATAAATATATATAGCTATTATTCAGTTTTAGTACATTAACCCAGCTAAATAATCATTAAAGAAGTCTGGAACGATTTTTTATGATGCCTATAGAAAGTTTTTTTTTTTTGTTTTTTTTTTCGCCTTAATTTCCAACGGTTTCTAAGCGGCATTGAGGAGCAGCCAACTTTCATCTGCTTATCAACAATAAATTTCAATTGACCCGAAACTTGTGCTAAACAAATCGATAAAAGTTCGCATAAATTTTTCGATATTTTTGCAAGAAATATAAATAAATAAAAAACAATAATATATAACAAATAAAATAGATGTTTAATAATTTCGCAAGTCTTATACAATGGGGTTGAGTTGTTCCGTTTGGGTTGGGATGCGAAACACCTGCCAGGCTTAAAGATGATCAATTTCGAAAGCCAGCCAAAGACGACTACAAACGTGTTTGACCTAGCGAACTATGGTCGACAAAACACGCACACACACACGCAAATTTTAATGAAATCTAATGAACTTTGCTGGCTGCTTTCCCAACTTTTGGCCGGGGACTCACCGCAGAGATTACCATAATAACGACCAGAGACCAAATCGAAGACCATGTGATTTGCGAAAGTCTAAATATTGTCGAAATAAATTTCAATTTGAATTCGCTTTGCCAGCAACCATTTAGAAAATTAATCATAATTTGGCCAAAAGCGTGGCCAATAATGTAAACCAAAAAGACCCTGGCTCTGGACCCTGTCCGTGCTTGGCTATAGATAATCTGAGATGTTTAAAAATCTGAGAGGCAATGCTATTAAAAAGCACTTAATGTCATCTACTTCGAAATGGAGATGCACTCATACAAAAATCTTGCGTGTTTCAAGTAAAAACAAAATATTTCGACTGGCAAATCTGGACGTAAAGCCTATTGCGAGGCAGGCAAACATCAGCTAAATGCTTGTAAATACAGCTAAAGCTATAGAAACACGCTTCTCTCTATACATATATAAACACTACACGTATATATATATGTATATATATATATATATATATGGGTATATATAATGTCAAGCAATTTTCTTTGTCAGGCATATACATATAGAGTCGAAAAGTCATATGAGGCATATAAGACATGGCACACGGGATCAACGTCACGATGAGCCAAACACGCAGCTCACTTTAATACACTCCCTAACTTGTGGGCCGGCGGATGGGCGGGGATGGTGAGGGTATCTACGTAACGTTCGGGCAACAACTTTGTATGCGCCCGTTGTCAAGCATTTTGCAAATAATATTGCGTATATTGAAATTATTGACCAGACGCAGCCCAAGACTCGGGATTTGTTTTTGTTTTGCATGCAAATAAAAAATATTTTTGAGTCAAAATAAACTGTGGAAACTCTGAGATTGAAAAATCCAAATCAAATAGTATAATGGAAATGCCAAAGTTTAAGCTAGCAACAAAAACAAGAAAAAAAAAGCAAAATGATTATAAAACAGTTTTCGAAAATATTTACGTTTATTTACGCGACACAACTTGGCGTGGGTAAGGAAAATAAAATGAAAAACTCCATGAATTTATGACAATTTTTGTAGGCTCCCGGAAAAAGAAATAACGGGCAATTATTATTATGAAAAGGCTGTAGCTTGAAAAATTATGATTGTTAAAGCTTTTCTTAGTGTTTTTTCTTTATAATAATGCAAAAGTTGTACCCATACAACCTTTAAAGGTGTAAATATAAAATCAAATGGAATAAATCGATTTTAAAACAGTTTTCCGAATTCCGAACTACATAATGCTTGAAAAATATCTTTACATATATATCTATTTACAGAAGATATGACAATCCTTAAGAGGCATATAATGAAATGAAAAACTTTCCAATTGAAATCCTTATAAATGTCATAATACCCTATAGTATTCTGTGCATAGTTATATTGACCCAACAAATCACAGCTTTCGAGTATTTTCGCAAAAAAAAAAAACCTACCCGTTAGCACACATAGAACTGAACTTAAGCTTGAGTATTACTTGGAAAATTTGTGCTTTTAGGAAAGTAAATAAAAGCGTGGAATGCTAGAGTCATAATGCAAGTCTATATAGTACATATGCGACGTTATTTGTAGGGATTTCGCAATACCATATACATAAGTTTGACGACGTTTTAGCCATTTTCAAACAATTAGTGTCAATCGCTTGGCAAACTCAAAATATGCAAATACTCGTCTGGACAATACTTTTATTTATATAGTCGCCGGATAGGGTGAACGTCGCCCTCCCCTCATCTCTCACCCCTCACACATATGTCGAAAGTTGATTATATTGAAAGACCAATGGAATGCTCCCTAGCCCAGGCAAATGGCAGCAATCAAAAGGCTCAAATTGTATATCATTTTGATACCCCGTAGCTATTAATAGGGTTAGCTGGGTAGCTAGAGACTTACGTATGTAGTTTTTAATATGTAGCTAAAGTTAGTTAAAGAGAGTTACATTTCTTTATCCTTCGATCCTGTGTGTGTGCAAGTCCATTAGTCGCAGAGACTATTAATGGTTTCAATACCAATACGAATATCAAATCATTTTTTAATATAATAGCATAGACAGATTAATAAAGAATCAACTTTTCATCAAGCTCAATGCTAATCCAACCGCTCAAATTTTTAAAGGCCTCACTTATTTTCTAATTCATGTTTTTTTTTCTCAATTCTTTATGCTCAATTTAGCAACATTCTAAGCAAAAATCTGATTGGAAATACCTTGGGTACCTTGGGAGACTTAGTACACATGCACTCAACTATCTTATCTTGGCATGCAGCTAATTTCATAGTAATTTCATAATAATCATGAAAGTTATTAAAGTAAACGTTGCAATGGTCTTTACAGAGTAGTAAGAAGAAGTACGCTTAGCTTTGCAGTCATTTGGCAAGTATCTCAACTCAATTCGCAAGCAATATGATATATGATGATATATATGATATAGTAGAATATATCTTAAATCGAATATCGACCAGTATGAATATAATGATGTGATAGTATATTATACATAATATTGTAATCTGCCGGACCGTAGAAGGCGTTAATTTTAGAAATGTACAGGGTATTTCCAAGTCTATTGCTTCACACTTGAGCTCACTAAGTACTTGTTATTTTTAAACGAATCAAAGTCGAGCTGCTGTCATTGTTGTTGTTGTAACATAATCAACGCGCACAGTTGAAAGTGCAGCTTATACAACTACAAAATGTGTGTGTGTGTGTGTGTGTGTATGTGTGTGCTGCCGTATGTCTGTGTGTAAATTCATTAATTAAGCGCAGACAGCGCGCGCTCTCTACAAAATGGCGTTGCTCAGTAGGCGGCGCTTAAGCTGTCACTGCCCCCCTCCTTCCCCCCGTCCATGTGGAGCGTGTGTGGTCACCTTTGGTGGCAGCTAAGCAGCTTTATATTGACGGAGGAAGAGCCCATAGCTTACCTGTCCCGTTGCCACTTCCAGCAGAACATAGACCAGCAGAATGATTTCCTTCTCATCGGAGCCGAGACCGGGCCCGTTCTGGCCGCAGGTGGCTATATATAGGGAGACGACGTGCTCGGGCACCTGCATATTGATGAGGTTCTTGTCTTTGATCTCTCAAAAAAGTAACAATTTTCTCTATCGATCGAGAGACCGTGGCTCAAATAACTTTAAAGCGGGCGGGTTGCTTTCTATTTGCTATCAATTCCAGTTGTTGTCGTTGTGGAGCTGATGGCACTGCATTCTCTGGTTAGATATCCATAGGTTATACCTGCAAAAAAAAAATGGTAGAGTGTGAGAGGTGAGAAGAGCGAGAGAAGAGGCTAAAGGTGAGCAAAACTTATACAATATTGGAAACTTTGCTCAATAAAATTTAAATCTAATTACAAATGCATTCAAGGAAAATGTCAGGCAATACGAATTGGCAGCAAACGCAAACATTTGACGTTGCCAATTGGAAATTTGTTGGAGCGACGTTGCCAATTTTCAGTTGTATGCAAATTCAGCGCTGTCAATTTTCTAATGAGACAACTTTGCTGTGAGACGTTGCCAATTTTCAGTTAATATGTTAATATTAATAAAAGCTAAACGACGTGGCCAGCTTTTGGTTAGTACGAGTACAGCGTTGCCACCTTTCAATTTCTACAAGCACGGCGTTGCCATTCTTCAGTTGTATGTGCTAATCAGACGACTTGAGCGCCATTTAACTCAGTTAGGCGATGTTGCCAATTTTCAGTTCGCCATTTTATGTGCTAATCAGACGACTTGAGCGACATTTAACGAACAAAGACTCTTAAATTGCCTCAAAAGCATGTCCAAAGAGGTCAAATTGAAATTATTAACCTGCACGACGATTTGAAATTTAATTTTGCTCGCTCGCTAGCTAACTCGATTGCCAGTCACCAGGGCCCAGAGCCGTACAAATGGACAAAGTCAAGCAAAAGGCGAATGTGGAAACGTTGGCGACAACGAAAAAATTAAAGTGCAATTTTATGAGCATTTTTAATGTGAAAAGTTTTACTTTTAATGAAAACAGCAAAACCAAACACAGACCAGCATCAAGCACTGCTCGACTGACTGACTGACTGACTAACTGACATAAAACCAACTGCAGAGGCAAAGGTCGCCGGCGCGCATGGGTTAATCGGGGCGCACAGGCGCACAGAGAGTCATCGCAGGCTTTTGCAATCGCATTTATGATGACTTTTTGTTGTAATTAAAATTTTAAATAATACAAATACAAAAAACACAAACGAAAGAAAAAAACCGTCCAAGCTTTTTGTAATCAAGACAAGCAAAAGCGATTTTAAACAGTTTGCAACAGTTTCTCAGCTCTGAAATGTTTCTTTCTTTTTTTTTTTTTAATTTTTGGTTTTTTGAATTTATGTTTTTTACATGTTTCTGCATCTTTGCAGTCCGCACTTCGCTAATAACTCATACTGTTTAAGCAAAACATAAAAAGACTCTGCTTTTTGCGGGTTTGCAGGTTTCGCTTTGTGTGCTGGGGAAATGGTCAATCTTTTTGTTTCCCCCTCATTTTTTTTAAGGCATCTCAACGTGCTGTAATGTTAATGAATGTATGTGTTCGTGATCTTTGAAGACCTGTGCAATTTATGTTGAGCGTTTTTTATGCTTTCGCTCTCTCTTTCTTTCGATATATCCCTATCTTTGTCTCTAAGCTTTTTGCCGTTATGTGGCAGGTGCATAAAGTGTGTGAACTTTTAGATTTTAGATTCCCAGGCGCTTCAAGAACTCCATAATAAAATGTTCTATCGAAAACATAGTTTTTAATTTCTTGAACTGGGAAATAAAACAAAGCTGGATTGATCTTTGGGCTAACGAACACGGAAATATGTTTGAAATACGTTTATGTAACGGGCTCTATTAAGAAATGGTAAAAGTTAATTATTGGCAGTTCTGATAATGTTTTTATATATTCTTTAGTTAATTATTGTGCTTATGACTGCAGAGAAAGTTAAAAAACTAACATGAGAATGTAAATCTTAACAGCTGTGACGAACTGTTACTGTTGCTAACAGTTGCGGGAAATGTTAATATATTGATTTTAAAATGTTTATTACAGAACAATCTAATTATATTTCTTATGTGTTTGAACACAGTTTTGGGGTAAAGCCAATCGGATATATATTGGCGCTTTTTTAATCTGAACATGCTGTCATGAAATCGAAATATTTATTTACAACGACATATTTTCAATTGAGTTGCATTAGCATAAAATATAACTTTGAATTATTTGCAGGACAGCTTTGCCACGCTGTTACTGAGATTAACAGTTGCAGATCATGTAAAGATGTTATTTTACATATTTATTTGCTAAAAATTTACTTAGTAGACTTTAATAACTCTAAAGCAAGCTTCCTTACAAGCTACTAGAAACACTTGTCACAAAATGCTCTATTGCTGATTCTCATTTAATTTATGGCTCATAAATCGCAGGCTTATTGAACAAGCACGAGTAAATATTTATGATCATTTTCGAGTTGATGACTTGATTTGATTTTGATGTAAAAATAATGACAGCATGGAAGGCAACATTAAGCCAAAGTAAGCCAATTAATTTAGTTGGTTTTATGGTACAGATCGGGCTTGGAGCCATAACTAACCGCTAGCCGTAACACTTCATAAATTTGTTGTTATTGCCCAAATGAATTTCCCTTTCGTTTCACACTTCAAAACTCGCTGAGGCCTGACCGAAGCCAAGGCCTAGGTCCAGTGCTAAAGAGCGTTGCGAAGTTTTCACTGAAACATTAACGTATGGAAAAGCGTTTTCGAGGTGACGACGCGTCGCGTCGCGTCTCGCCGTGACAACCGAGCACACACGCACACACACACACACACACACACACACAATAAATCTTATTTTCCGACGAGTTGCTCATTAATGAATAACGGGTCGTCACGTTGTTGTTCGAGCTAATTAGAACGGGAAGAAAGTAGATACAACAACAACAACAACAACAACAACAACAACATGCAAATCTTCATTAAAAAGAAACAACAGAATTGAACGGCAATGTTACGGTTATTCCAAAACTCAATGTGTTCCAAATTATACCTCTAGTATAAATTAGTAATATATTCAGCAAAACAACAATAAATGCAATTAATAAGTTGGTAAACAACTAAGAAGTGTCTCATCCTTTTTATACCCTGTACTTATTTAAATAGGTTAAACACAAGACAGAAAAATGAAAAAGAAAGCTAAAGGAAAGAGTTTATCAGCGGACTTTCCATTTAATCATAAAATTTTCTCATTTTAAAAATTCTATTGATTGGAAAATTTACTTTTATACGTTAAAAATATGATAATTTCAATTCCAATTAAAATGAATTACGAGATCAGCAATTCGCGATTTATTTGAGCCAATAAAGAAGAGCTTCAAAAGCAATCATATACATAAATAATTGAGGCACATTTGATTTGTTTAATTTTGGTAAAAGTGGGAAACAGAACAAAAACAAAAGGGCTTTTGCTGTAATTAACTCCCTTGGCTGTTCCTACATAAAAGATTTTATCAAGAATTGGTATGCAAGCACTTAAGAACATCATCTGCAAGACCTGAAAATTGCATAAGGATCGCACCATAAAAGCAGAAGTTATTCAAGATTGAATTCTCTACAATATGATTAGGCGTAAAGAAGAAGCGCAGTTATTGTCTGGGCTTGTGTGTGTGTGTGTGTGTGTGTTTGTTCGAGTGTATTTAACGGCAGCTCGAAGCTGGTTATTGGGTATCTCCTAGTCGGGCTTTTTCGCCCAGAGCATTCTGACTCGTCTCTTTTAAGCTGTTGATTTTGTTGTTGTTCTTCTGGTTGTTTATTAATTGCAGGCATTACGCAAGCGTTCGCATTGTTCCAGTCAAAATAGCTGGAATGGAGATTGGAATTTGAAACGGAATTGAAATTGGCGTGTGCCGTTACATTTTTTAGCCAACAGGAAATTTATGATTGCGCACAAATTGCATACAAGTGAAATGCCAATTGCCAAAGTTATGCTGCGCTGTCGCTCTCCCTCTCCCTCTTCCTCTCTCTTTTTTTCTTTTCCTCTTTATGTATGCTTCTCCCTCGCTCGCACTATCCCTCTCTCCCCCCCACCCTCTCACTCTCTCTCTCTCTGTCTGTTGCGCCAGCAACAAGTGCAGCAATTGTTGTGGTTGCCGTTGTTGTGATTCTTTGTGCAAATGCGCCTGTCAAAAGCTAACATAAAAATCACAAGAGCTCAAGGCAGAAGCAGAAGCAAAAACTAAACAACAACAACAAAAACAAGCCTCTCAAAGCGCAGCAGCAGTTAACTTTGGGAGCTTTGTAACGTTTGGTGTTGGCGTCGACAGAGACGCTGCTGCGCTGTTGGTACGCGCTCTTTTATTATTTCTTGTCTGTGTAACTGTAAATATGTTTTCACTTTGTTATGTTTGCGTATCTGCCTTTAGCGTGTACCGTCTTTGAGCTGCTCATTTATTTGATGTTGTTGCTTTTGTTGTTGCTCATTCACTCGTTCATTCACACTACACACACACACACACACTCACTTATAGGCATACATATGCATGTGTGTCACAAATTTGTCAAATAGTTGTACAACTTACAGCAACAAATGAGAAGTGCCAGCGCTTAAAGCTTTTTTTTTGCAGCAACAGGTTGATCCTTCGGCTTGCCTTGACGCGCAAAGCTTTAACTGTTTCTTTCGTTTTTGTTGTTGTTTTGTTTTTAACACATTGCACTTTGTTGTTGTTGTTGTTTTTGTTGTTGGCTGCTTTTCACAATTTTTTTTTTATTGCACTTTCTTTTTCACACATACATACATATGTACATACAGTTATGTACGTGCGCACACAGAAACAAACGCAGTTGTTGTTGTTGTTGTTGTCAATATGTACTTGCATACATATGTAAAGCCCTGCTGGGCTTCTGTGTACTTCAGCTGCTTCTTTGGCTAGTCACACTGACTAGCAGTTAGTTTATGTTTGTGTATGTGTGTCTTTCCACACGACGCCGCCGATCTTAATACCAACACGTATAAAACGGACGGCGACGCCGACGTCAACGTCGGCGCAATACATGCAAACAAAAAACAAGTCACTTTTTTTTCGCCTTCTTTGCTACGGCTGCTTCTTCTACCACTTTGTGTGTGTCTTTATTTTATTTTTTTAACTGTTGTTTTTGTTTTCTTTCTAGTTTTGGACTAAAAGGTATACGTGTGTTTGTGTGCATGTGTGAGAGTATGTGTTATTTGTATATTATTGCTCTTGCTGCTTCAGCGACGGCCGCGTGCGTCTGTCTCCAGGTTAAAACAGCAACTGATCGACTTCGTGGGCCACAGGCAGCCACGAAGGTAAGTGAGCTGCGCTTGCCTGCAGGTGTGCATGTGTGTGTCGGTGTCTGTGCCTGTTTATATGTATATGTGCAAGCAAACCTTTGCCGTGAGTGTTGCGTTGGTGAGAAAGAGTGCGCGACAATGAGAGAACGCGCGCTCGCTGGCATAGCTCAGGTGTATGGGCCACTTAGCTGCTGCCTGATGCCAAACAAGATTCCAGCACGCAAACGCACAACAACAACAACAGCAACAACAATGAGAGTAATAACAAGCATTTATATACAGAGTTGGCTAGATTTGTCTGCTTGCCAATAGGCTGGTGCACAGGTGGTTGGCAACGCGGCGGAGCCCTTGTGCTTGGCAACGCGACGGAGCCCTTGTGGTATGCAAAGGCAAATGTAAACACAAACCTGCCAAATAATGAATGAATGCGTTTGCATGCATACAAATGTAGCTCAAATCAAAGGAAAAAAAAAATAAATAAATTTGAACAACAACAACAGTTAGGCCGCTCACACACACACACACGCACACACATACTCTCAATGAGCAGCGGCGTAGTCAGCGCCAGCTTGCGCAGGGGTCGCCCCCACTAGGCTTATTGCAGTTTCCCACGCTGCGCACACAACGACACACAAAGCAGTTACGCTCGCTCAGCCATGACACGCTCTCTCGCGCTCACTTGCTCTCCCGCTCACTCTCTCACTGGTTGCGCTCTGGAAGTTACCTGCGCCAAGCCGCTCGCGCAGCCCCCGCGTCAACACACCTGTACAGCAGCGTTGCGTGAGTGTATTTCTCTTCGTTTGTGTGTGTGTAGCTGCTTCTTCTTCTTGTTCGGCTTGCTCAATTACCAACAGAACTGCCCACGTACCTGTTTGTATTGTTCAAGCGGTAAAATTCCAATTCCAGGCCAGCCATTTTTCAATATTTGTATTTGCAACGCGATAAAATTACGGCACAATTTGACATTTGATAATTACAATCTGAAAACAATTATCGAATGTATTTGCTTATCGAATTTTAACGTTTACAGAGATGGAATTCGCTCTCTCCCCTTCTCTGTCTCCTTCTAACAGCAACAAGCGACGGCAACCGACTGACAAAACCGCGGAACGTAAACGCGTTTTGGTCGAAAGGCAATATGCGAGAGTGTCAACCAGAAGGAGAGCGAGCGCAAGAGAGCGAAGAATAGCTGTGTGCGTGTGTATTGGAGTGAGCTGCCTACCTGGGCGCCAGCGCATGACATGCAGCGTTGGAGCCCGACAGTGCTGCATGACATGCAGCGCATGAACGTGTATAAATTAAACAAAAGCTCGAATATCATCTTCAAGCGATATGCAGCATGTCATACAGACTGGCCTTAATGCTGCTGGAAATATTAAGTGTTGAAAAATTAATAAAAATCTAGAAAGAACGGTTTACTCTAAGAGAAAAAGCTCTGTTGAATGGAAAGCCGGCTATAGAAAATCTCCTCTTAAAAACTATATCGAGCTTATGCCAAAAACATCATTGGCAATTTCTATTTATTTCTATAAGTTGCTCATTTTTAAAAATAAAAACCTTAACTTTTGTCAGAACTTTATTATGACTAAAAATAAAAAAACATTTTTAAAACATTTTTTTATTTTTGAAAAAAGTTGTACAACATTGACGCTGCCTGTCCCTATAACTTGTACTCTTCTCTTTTCACTTTGTGAGTAGACTATAAAAATATTGTCAAAAAAAAAAAAGTAAAGTAAAAGTATCAAGCAGCATGTCATGCAGGTCGTTGCATGCATGCAAATCCCTTAAACGAATAAAAATAATTATTGAAATGGCATTAGCGAACGTTTGAAGGATTATTGCACAACGCAAGGATATTTAGCATACTGATTAAATAAATAAATGGGCACGCGGCTTTTCGCTTTTCACAAAATAATTTCGTTCTTGAAGCTGCGACTGAGCTCCTTGTGCGGCAGGACAATACTGTTGAGCAGAATCTTCTCCGCGGGTATTTGCACAAAGCAGCCTTTGGGATGAGTAAAGAGGAAACTTATGTTAATTATAAGAATTTAATTATTTGAATTAAAGCAACAAACCCAATATTGTTATGGATGGATTCAGTTTGCCCTCGTTGTTGAACAGCGGCGGATTTTCCATTTTGGCAAAGGGCTTATTTGGATCGGGATCACTGGGCGTGCCCTCGACGCGCGTCCATGCGCCTATGCTGCAGCCACGCCCCACAATCGAGTGCAGGATAAGCGTGTGATCCTTGATATGCGCCTGCTCCAGGACAATGGACTCGCGTATGCGAACGCCAGGTCCGATAGTAACGCCAGGACCAATGGCCACATTGGGGCCCAGCTGTTTGGAATAAGAAAGGACTTGAGATTAATTCCAGCTAACCTTGAACTGCCATTAAGTACACTCCAGATTTTCGAATCATAGATATCTATAAATAATAAGATCAAGGCACCTTCTAGATCTTTTTATACTATAAAATCAATATCGATATTATATACATCGATATAAATCGATAATCCTCGATAATAATCGATAATAATGTAGTATAAGCTTCATATGCGTAGGGCACACGAGAACTTATGGTACGAACTCAAAATATAAAAGAAAAACTAGGCTAAGAAAAGATATGTATCGATCACAGGAATTGTGGAAATTGATCGATAATTTGAAATAAGCTTGATGTGCGTATATTCTCAATGGTCCACAAAAAGCTTGACATGGCCAGATCGACACGACTGTCGATGTAAATTAAATAAATGTATATATAATACATGTATAGGATTGGAGCGAGAGATCCTTCTTAAGGATACATCCTTTTCAAGCCACTGGCTATGTGTACAGGATAAGAACAGCTGCTGTTCAAATACTCACCACCGCCGAGTGATGCACCGTGGCACTGGGATGCACATAGACATCCGGATAGACGGTGCATATCAGATTGCCATCGCCTTCGCCACGTTTGCTGCCCACATTGGCCAGACGCTCGGGATGGGTGCGCTTGTAGAGCGCCAGATAGTGCCGATTGGCATAGATGGCCGAGCCGGCGGTCTTCAGCTGTGACCACCAGTTGGGCACCGGCATGGCAAAGAGCTTGTCGGTGCCCGCCAGCGGGGTGAGCACCTCCTGCTCCCACTTGATGTGACCCTGCTCCTTGCCGTTGCCATTGCCATTGCTGTAGCTGATGCAGCTGTACTCCTCGCACTTGGCATGGAAGATTTGGGCCAGCTTCGTGAATATATCCATGGAGCACACATAGACGCCGCAATTGATGTAGGTGGAGACATAGGAGCTCGGCTTCTCCACATAGTGCGACACAGCACCACTGGCGCGATCGAATACGAGGCAGCCATAGTGCAGCGATTGCTGCCGTGTCGCCTCTGTGCTCATGATCGTCACCAAGGCGCTCGCCGGCCGCTCCATGTGAAATTTGTGGAGCTCCTCCAGCGGAAAGTCGGCGCAAACATCGCCGTTGAGCACAAAAAAGGCGCGCGGATTGCCGGCGCGTATCTGATCGCGAAAGTGGTACATGCCGCCGGCGGTGCCTAGGGATGTGAACTCCTGCAGATACCTTAAAAACAAAAAGAACACGTCAGCTATAAAACACTGTAGCCTAGGCGGGAGTGGGCCAGCCGATACCCTGTAGCCCGGTTGCTAGCACAAAATAAATATTGGTTCGGAAATTCATTATGAATATATTTTGGAGCAGGATATGCTCTGCGAAAATGAGATTGATAAATTTATGGTCTCTAGCTATGCGTATTTACGAGATAAGTCAAAAAAAATCGATTGGAAATCGATATTTATCGAAACTAAGCAAATAACGGTAGCTTAACATTTCGCATCCAAAATCGATATTAATCGAAATCGAAAAGTTGTCTACAATTTGAAATTCAATTGATCTACGAAAAACTTTATGTCTAATTTGGTGCTTTCACCTGTAGTAAGAGTCCTGATCTATCTGAACTCGACCATTGATGCCAATCAGGAATATATGCTTGGGCTTGACAAGGCCAACTGTCGCCTGTTGCAAGCGAAGGCGCACAGCTAATATACCCATTTATTGCACATTTTCAATGGATACAGGGTATGCAAAGAAACGTCACCTGATGTTTATATTGCTTCTGCTGTAGAGCGCCTGCATGTCGCCCACGAAGCCCTCCATTTGGGTCTGCGGATAAAAGCCAATGATGAGAATCTCCCGCAGCTCCTTCAGCTGGACACAGGCTTCGATGTGATGAGCTATCAGCGGGCGTCCGGCGACTGGGAACAGCGGCTTGGGCGTATCCAGCGACAGCGGGCGAAAGCGGGTGCCCTTTTGCGGGCCGCCAATTAAAATAACCGCCTTCAACATATTTCAGGTTAAGCAATTGTGCAGCTTGTGACTAAACTTTTTTCATGTATTTCTGTTATCTATTAATTTTACTGATATCAAATACTGTTTACGTTGCCAACAATAAGTATCGATATCGCGTTGCCAATATAGTCAGTCCATCAGCTGTTTTGATCGCTGCGTTGCCAACCTTCTTTGCAAGGCTAGCGATAGTTGCATTTCATGCTGTCATATCAATTGTTTGCGATTACTTGGACAAAATGGTACGCAGCTAACGAGCATGCTTGCAGACATATATAACATGCATATGTCAGAGTAAATTGTCTTAGTTATGTTTATTTATAAGAAGATTTGAGTGAAGTATTTTCGCATAATATAAGTTCATTTCATATTAGACGCAATGAGCAATTGGCATTATATAGTTATTTTATTAATAACAAAATTGCTTCTACGAGTTAACAAGATATTGAAGCCAATTTTCTGAGTTTCTAGTTCAGTTAATGAAAGCTAAAACAAATGTATAATAAACTCATCTTTAAAAGCAAATAGGATGATATCTCTAAATTTATTTATTGCGGCTAGGACTGGTACGTAGCAAGCAAGGCAGTTTTTGACAGGCTGATTATCGATACATTTTTGGATATCGATATATTTTACTGAACATCACTAATTCAATAGCGCCTCAGCCGGAATGGCGATGTAATTTTTCGTCAATAATTTTCACAAGTTCGCTGCAAACAGCATCAGACAGTTTGTGCACCAATTTGGTGGCTTCCAACTCGTCTGTCCACTGCTTGGAGACCCGTGCGTGTGTGTGCGTGTGCTTGAGCCTACGTGCGTGTGTGTGCGATGGCCTCAGCCGAACAGCTCGTTGCAGCCGCCTTACAGGGTGCCGCCAATCCCAACCACGAAATTGTGCAAAAAGCCGAAGCACAGCTAAGCGAATGGGAGCAACAGCCGGGCTTCTTTCCCATATTGGCGCGTCTCTGCATGAAGTTGCAGGGCGATGGCGATGCGGCCGCCGCCGCAGCAGCAGCTGCTGCCACGCTCAGCGATGCCGTCAAGATACGCTGGATGGCGGCCGTTTATCTAAAGAATGGCATCGAACGCTATTGGCGTCACAATTCCCGCCTGGAGCTGGCGACGGAGCAGAAACAGCAAATACGCGACATCCTGCTGCAGCACTACAGTGCAGAGGATGTGCCCCAAGTGGCGCTGCAGGTGGCGGTGCTGCTGAGCAAAATCGCACGCATCGACTGCTGGCCGGAACTGTTGCCCACGCTGATGAAGCAGCTGCAGTCGTGCAGCGCTGCCGGCAGTGAGGCGCCCGCACAGCAGCAGCGTACGCTGCTCGTGCTGCACTATGTCATCAAGGCGCTGGCCTCGCGCCGCCTGCTCGCAGAGAAGCGCGCCTTCGAGGAGCTGGCCGCACAAATCTTCAGCTTCATGGCCTGGAACATTTGGGCGCCGCTCACCACACGCTTCCTGCAGCTGCAGAAGACTGAGCCGGCGGCGCACAGTTGCCTGCAGCGCGCCCATATAGCCATGCGTTCGCTGCGCAAGCTGCTCGTCTACGGATGTGGTAGCAAGCCGTACAAGTCGAACGATCACATGAATTTCATCGAGCAGCTGTTTGGGCGGCTGCGCCAGTGCCTTGAGCTGCGCTATGAACTGAGAATGCGCACACAGGAGGCGGGTGGCAATCAGCAGCAGCAGCAGCTGATTGACGATCTGGAGCGTTTCATACTGAAAATGATGAAGACCCTAAATGAGTTTATGGACCGGCATTCGTTGTCCTTTGCACGCTTCGTGCCGATGGCCTTGGAGTTTAGCTTTCACTATGTGTTCCACGAGGGCACCGCCCTGATTTTTGATGCTGGCGAGCGCATCAATTTCAGCAACTTCGTCATCCAGGCGATCAATCTGCTCAAGGGCATCATGATGAGCGGCAACGATAGCATTGCACAGGATCAGTCGGCCAATACGCTGGAGGATGAGCTGCTCGCGACGGCGGCGCAAACGCAGAGCAAATTCTTTAGCGTTGAGCGTGTTACGTATTTGTGCGAGAAAATTGTAACACATTACTTTCTGTTGACGGCCGAGGAGCTGGCGGAATGGCAACAGGATCCAGAGAGCTATGGCCAGGATGATGGCGGCGGCGACGCCTGGAAATATGAGCTGCGTCCCTGCGTCGAGACGCTATACTTCACCTGCTTTACCCAACACTCGAATGTCATGATCAACGAGGTGCTCAAGTTCGTGCGGCGTGCCCAGCAGCTGCAGCTGACGGAGAGCTCCGAACTGAAGGCCATACTGCTGAAGGATGCCATCTATAATGCCGTCGGCCAGGCCTCATTTCACTTCTTCAACAAACTGGACTTTGGCTCCTGGCTGACCTCACAGCTGCTCGCCGAGCTGCGCATGGAGGCGTCCAATTTTCGCATTCTGCGGCGTCGCATCATTTGGCTCGTCGGGCATTGGGTCGGCGTGCAGCTGCCACGCGAGCTTCGTCCGCTGGCCTATGAGGCGTGCCTGCATCTGCTACGTCCCGAGGAGGATATGCCCATACGTTTGGCTGCAGCGCGCACCCTGAATCTGCTTATCGACGATTTTGAGTTCATGCCGGAGGCGTTTCATCCCTATTTTGCTGCCCTGTTCGAGGCGCTGTTCCTGCTGCTCCGCGAGGCAGGCGCCTGCGACACCAAAATCGTTGTCCTGGGCACCATGACGCTGCTGGTGGAAAAGATGAGCGAGTTCATCGAACCGCAGGCCTTGCAATTCATCGCCTATCTGCCTCTGCTGTGGCGTGAGAGCGAAGAGCACGAGTATAATATGCTGCGCTGTGCCATCATTGGCACCTTAGAGCAGCTTGTGCGCACCATTCGCGATGTGCCCGAGAGCATGAAGCCCTTCCTCTATAGCGTCATCGAGCTGAGCACCGATCTGCAGGTATGCATCCAATGGTTCGGGATGGGTGCCATTAACGAACCTCCTGCACTCTCTTTCAGCAACGCTCACACGTTTACCTCATCGAGGATGGAATCATGCTGTGGCTGGCGGTAATTGGCAACTCGACGGCGTTGACACCGGAGCTGCTGCAGCTCTGTGATCATCTGTTGCCCATAATTGAGATGTCGTCGGAGAATCTGCGCACGGTGCTGCAGCTGATACACGCCTACATACTGCTCGATGCCCATGTAAAAGAATCAGATGTTTTATATCTGATAACTATAACTAATTTTCATGATTATTTTAGGCCTACCTGAGTCGTTACGGCGAGGGCTTTGTGGCGTATTGTGTGCGCTCCTTTGAGGATATACGCACGGAGGGCATCATAGCCATGCTGCGCATCTTCGAGACATGCCTCAAGACGGATGCCACAATGGGCTTGCGCCTGGTGCGACCCGCCTTGCCGTTCGTCTTCCAGCAGGTGTGCCTCAAACAGGAATATCCGATGACCATGAGCTGGTATCTGACACTGTTGGCGCGAACCTTGCTCATCGATCAGTCGGTGTTCATGTCTGTTGTGCAGGAGCTACCACAAACGGATGCACTGGCTCGCATATTGGATGTGTGGATTGAGATGTTTCCATTGGTCGCCGATACGCATGCCGAGAAACGGAAACTCTTTTGTCTCGCCTTTGCCTCCATATTTGGCAATAATGAGCTGCTGCTGGCGCGCCTGCCGCACATACTGCAGCTGGTGGAGGAGACGCTCGGCGAGGTGATGGACAAGCAATATGCGGCAACAGATGAGGGCGCTGACAAGGCGACGCCGCGCTATTACGACTCGCTGGTCATACACGACGAGCACGAGCTGGAGGAGTTTCAGCCGCAGCTATACGATGACTTCCATTCAAAGACCTACCACGACGACAGGCATCGCCAGCTGGTGCTAAAGGATCCCGTTTATAAGATACCACTAACCGAATACCTCAAATGGCAGCTGCAGCATCTCCAGACCCAACTGGGCGCCGCACGCTACGATCAGCTGATGCGCGCCGTTTGCCCCGAGGTTCTCGAAAAGATAAACATGTACATAGAGCAGACGGTGCCCAAGGCGTGCGGCGTTTGTGCGGGCAGCGGCGATGATAGCGAGCCACCGTTGCCCGATGGTGGTGCCAGCGCCCGCACCGCGCTCGACTGATGGAGCAACTGCAGCAGCAGCCGCATTAACACCAACCAGGCCGGCGCCGTTCATAGCTGTGCTTCAAAAGCTTTCAAAACAGTCTTTAAGTTATTAATGTATTTTATTTTGTATTGAAATTATATATTTTTAATTGTTAATCCAAATTGTGGACCACCCTCCTCCTCCTCCTTGTCCTAATCCACGGCCGGACGTCGCTCCATTTTGCTGCGCAGCAGATTGCGTATGGTCTCGTCTTTTTGCTGGAGCTTGTGCCGCAGCTTGTCCAGCTCCTCGGTGTTGCGCACATGCATGCCGCGCAGCTGTGACTCCTTGTGCTTGAGTAGCGTCGAGAGCTGCTGCACTGCATCGTATGTCTCGCGCAGCTCTACCTGGCCGGCCTCCAGTTTTTGCGCCCACTGCAAAGTCATGCGCAGGCGCGCCTTCAGCCGATCCCGGGCGTGCTTGGCCTTCTCGCAGCTGCGCTGCAGCGAACCGGCGCGTGTGTTGCACGCCTGCAGCTGCTCCTCCAGCGCGGCGCGCTCCCTGGCATGCTCCTGCTTCAGCTGCTCCAGCAGCGTTTTGCATTGTTGCACGGCCGCCGCTTCCACGGCGCTGGGCGTGACCTCTGCTGGAGCAGGAGGAGAAGCAGCAGCAGCTGGCGGCGTTGTGGGCATCGCTGTGCTCTTGAGCGTAACCAGCTCCGACTTGCAGCGCGCAAATGCATCCTGCAGATGATTCATGTCCAGTAGAAGCGACTGATTGCGCTGCTCATAGAAATGCATGACCTCCACCAGCTTCTCCTTGACCAGATCCGTTTTGCGCGTTTGCGTTTCGGCCTTGGTGCGGCAGACGCCCAGCTGCGCCTGCAGACGCACACGCTCCTCCGTCCAGCCGCCGACATCGCGACGCAGCTGCTCCTGCGTCTGCAGCAGTCGCGTATTCTCCTCCAGTGCACGCTTCAGCTCATTGGCGAACAGCTCAAAGTCGGCGGCGTATTGGGCGAGCAGCGCATCCTTGTCCCGCATCGACTCGTCGTAGGCCTGTAGCAGAGGCGTCAGCGTGTGCGTCGGCAGCTGGCTGCTCCAGGCGGGCACCGTGTGGCAGTTGGACGTAGTCGGTGCTGCTGCTGTTGTCTCCTCCGCCGTGCGTCGCTGATCCTGATAGCTTTCGATTTGCACATTCAGTCGAAAGACCAGAGTTTTGAGCATATCCACATCGTTGGCCAGCTCCTGATTCTGCTGCAGCAGTACGGTCTGCTGCTGCTCCAGCTGCTGGCAGCGCTCGCAATTGGCCAAACGCTGCTCCGCCTGGCTCAGACGCTGCTCCAGCTGCTCGCTCTGCGTGCGCAGCTGCTCGTTCTCCCGAGCGAACTGCTCGTTGTATTTGTGCAGCGTGGCCAGGCGCTGGAGAAGCTGATCCAGCTGCTGTTCCTTGGCTTGCAGCTGATATGGGATTTTCGAAATGGGTTTCATTAAAAATTGGTTTTCCTGGGCATACATTGGCTTGGCCACTTACCAGTCCGTTGAGCGTGCGCTCCTGCTGCTGCTGCTGCTTCTTCTTGCCACTGGCCGTAACTCCATCCGCCAGGCGCTGCTCCACCTCAACGCTGCGCGACCTGCGACTAAAATTGCCCGTCAACGTCTGCAGCACCTTGCGCTGCCGCTTCGGCTGCGTGGCTGAGGCGTTGTTTGGGCGTGCCGGCTGCTTCACCTGCTCCTTGTCCTTCTCCTTCTCCTGCTCCGGTTCGCTCTGATCTAGATCCGTGATCATAACTCCTCGTCGAGGCGTGCTCATGGCTGTCCGTTTCAGTCGTTTCACTTGACAGTTTTAGCTCTGACTGCGCTGTTGGGGTAAACAAAAACAGACCAATTCGGACTCCTTGTTGTCATGGTAGCGGCGACTATGTTTGACCCTGTTACGCTGCACTGTGGGGCAGGTAAGACATTTCTGTAACATATGTAAGGGTGCTTATTGGGCTACTCTATGTATCCTTTTTAGGTAAGAGTATTATGATTCGTTCACGAAATGTGTAACACATTAAGGCATTTCCGATTTTACAAATGATATCCATTATTGATCAAAGTCAACAGCCGAATCCATCTGTCTCATTTGTCTGTTTCTATTGTAAAAATAATCAAATGTGAATATATTAACTTTATTTACAAATAAGATATGTTTTCAAAAGTCATCGTCGGGCGTATCTAACCACTATATCATATAGCTGTCATAGGAACGATCCGTCTTGTCTAAGTTCTGGTATAAAAAACGGCCAATCAACATCAGGTAATTTTATAATCACTTTAAATTTTATAGCTGCCTAAATGAAAATCATTCGAAAAAGTATCTTAGCCAAAGACAGTTGTCACAAGCTTCACTCTGAACAAACTTCTTTCAATTTGGAACAAAATAATTTCAAAATCTATTCAATATTATATAATTATAATAGACTAGTTGAGCCTATTTATTAGGTTGGGGTTGAGCCTATTTGTTAAATAGAGTATCCATTTCGAAGATATCTTTGCACATTTTTCCACTTTTAAGTAAATGGATATTTGTATTAATAGAAAAGAAAGTTTTTTTTTTTTTAGCAAAATATAGACTACGATCGTTCAGGTAAAGGTTCAGCTGTTCTTTAATCAATTTATCCGGTTCAAGGATTCAGTTCATGGAAAGTATTTGATTATAATTTCTGGTTCGCTCCGTTTCGGTTCAAAGCTGAAATTAAAAGTAATTCCAAGCAGTCCCAATTGGGACCCATTGTGAGATGAGGTGAGCCGCTGCTTAGGGGTAGCAACCCCTTTGAGCCGAACCGCCACTGGGCGCGCTTTCCCATGGCAGCTGAAGAGAGCCAAGCGGCAGCGAAGAGCGCGAAAAGCTCACGCGCGCTCTTTGGCAGGCTTTGCACTCAGATTGGGCGGTAGGAGTGGGGCTGGGGCTGGGGGTGGGGGTGGGAGTGTTTGGTGTTACGCTTCGCCCACACTTGGCTTGGGTTTCAGTGTCTTGGTCCTTGAGCAGCACACATAAGACTAATGTCCAGGCGGAAAACTACAAACTTCGACGATGCTCCTCGGGGCACATTTCTCAATAAATGTGCGCCAGTTGTACGGCCAGGTGGCAGCCCTAGCCAACGCTTAAGGGTTGTCCTTTCTCGCCAGCTGAAGTGCCGTGTGCAGCAGTTGGTATTTGTTTTCTTTTTTTTTTTCCACTTTCCATTTTCCTTTTATAATTTTCATGTGCATTTTATGCATTTGGCTGATTGCTGTTGGCAAGTGGCGCATTTTTGCATCAGCATGGGGCAGGGGCGGGGTGGGCAGGGTAGAGGTGCAACCGTTACGAGCCATGTGGCCTAATTCGACCTGGCCAAATGCCACGGGCAACAAGTACTCGAGTTCGGAATGGCAACAATCAATCAAGCAACATGAGCGCATATCCTAATCCAACTCAAAAATGTGCACGACCATTTTAGCCACGGACTTTAAGAACAAAATGTAAATTGCAATTTCAGGTGGAAATTTAAGGATTTTAAGATTAAAGAGCATTTCATGCAGTAGTATTAAACATATCTAGCTTAAAATGGGTGCAAATTTAACTTAAAATAATGCCCGATGATTGTCCTGTAATGAATATATTAGGGATTAAAGAGATATGTTTAAAGATGATATTGCAAGTAGTATGTAATAGGAAAGTTCAATTTTAAAAGCAACTTATCATATAAGACGCTATTAGCCCTATAAATTTGAAGAGTTTAAGCTACAAGATATTTAATATTTTACTCTTATGACTTAATTAATTAAACACACTTTCATGCATTTATTTAGTTTCTTATACATATATATATAGCTTTAATTAAATTAAAATATTTGAATTAAATTCCATTAATTAATTAAAATCTAATATATTACAAATATGCCTTTAAGCTACCTTTAATAAAAATTAAATTACATTTATACTCTAAAATATTAAAAATATGCATTTAAACTTGATTTAATTGAACTAAGCAATTAAAATTAAATTAAATTATAAATTAAGAATTCTAATTAATCCTTAGACCTATTAGGAAAACGGCAAAATGAGCACGACAGCACGAAACAAATATACCCTTCTTGATTTTGTGAACAGAGCATATCAATATTTTGTTCTTTTACATGTTTGATTTTTAATTTCACTGTTATTAAAACAGCTTAAATTAAACTTGTGTAAATAAATAATAATGCAACTTATTCAACAATTAGGTTTGACATAAGAGGATCAACAAAAATTGGTTGGTCATAAAAACCGAACTGAGAGATTGATTGGATGAGACCTCCGCCTTAGGCTCCGCACTCGGATTCCTACAATGCCAAGTTTCTTAACAGACTCTGTTCAGGCATCTTTCCCGTACACTAGGATTCCATAACCCCAGGCAGGAGCTATGCAGGTTTCATAATAACAGAAACAAGTCTCTTCCGCTTTCGATGCGGAGTCTAAGCAAGTTTTAGTAGCATACTTAGAGGAGTCCAACATGTTATAGCACAAAATTGAAGCAAAGTCGAATTGCATCACAAGTCTGATAACATTTCCCATAAGCTGAACGAAATATAGCCTATTCTATCTGGAATTTAATCCAGAATCCCAAAGCCTCATCTTTCAATTGATTTTCCAGCTGCTCTTAATTGTTGCTTCGATGCGATTATACAGATTAGCACTATAGAGTCGAAGTTGGCTTTCTTTAAGTTGATAAATTCAAACATGTTGCATGCCCAAAAAACAATTGTGTAATGAAAGGAAAATCCGTTTAATACGCGAAGTCAACTTGATTTTCACAACTGACAACTGTTGACGAGGAACTTGAAGCTGTCATAAATAATTCATTTTGTAAATATTCAATTTTCCATCGATCCGCATGAATTTTAAATTCCGTTTGCTGTTCAAGGAGTTGCTCCCCAATCCCATTGGCACTCCATAATTGCGCATTCTCTTCTGCAAGCAACTCGATGTCAGAAATCAATTTACGTGGAGCAGAAAAGAAAATAGACTGAAAATAAAAACTTGCTCATTATGCAAATGAAAATGTCCTCGCGAAATGCAGTCATTAAACAGAATTCATAGAAACAAGTTCGCATGGACGAGGCGGGAGTGCAAGACTAGCAGATGCTCTGTAAACAGAACTAAAGTAATGACCGGCTAAAAAGTACCCTATTTCCATATAATTCGAGAGGAAATACCCTTCGATAAAGTAAGTAGAGACCCGAAAGGCATATCACACAATTGAGTTAAGATTGGCCATAAGGCAAACCCTACGAAAACTGAAGAAGTCTTACGAATTCCGCTCAAAATGTATTATTATTAAGAATCATATCACATCATATATAAATATTATGAAAAAAAATGTATGTATTGTTTTTTTTCAGCACAAAAAATCGTTGAAAAATAAAAATTTGTAAACAAAATTTTTATAATTATCAAAATAAATTAATAAGACCTAATCTCAAGAATAGTTAAATCTTTTTTTTTTGAAGAATTTAAAAATGTTAACAAGCTCTATAAGTTCTTTTATCAAGAATCAAAGTAGTCTAACTTTTGCAAGTACTTAAATTCAGTTGATCCATTCACACAACTTTAGCCCAACGACCCTTTTAAACAGTTTTATGGTTTTACAGGGTATTTAAATCAGCTCAGAACGCAATACGCTGGAAAATTAAATCCGAAATCACGCGCGCACACACACACCCACACACATAGACTTGCGTATATGTATACATTATGTCATTCAACGCACTTCATAAAACAATGTCCGAGTACGTGGCGCATATTGAAAAATTCACGTAAAATTTGCATAATTAAAGCGCAAATGACCAGCGCCAGGTTGCACAAACAGACACAACCACACACACACACACACACACACACACACACCTACGCACACACACCCACCACGTCACGCCCACACACAGACAAGGCAAACCGTTTACAGTTATTAACGCTCAACCAAGCGCCACCTGTCGTAGCAGAAAGCAAACATCAACAGAAACCGAAAAACTAACAGAGCCAAAGCAATCGACTCAAAGTGATTGAATAACAGATACCCTGCACCCTTTATCTATGCACAAAATGTCGAATATTCTTAATTTCTTTTTACATACAACTTTGGCATTAAGTCCAAGATATGCTAAAATATATGCCGCACATCGATACTTATCGGCTTAGGGCATCGGGAATCTTATTGTGTGTGGCAAATCGTAAATTATCGATTCCTGAAAAGCCGAATGCTTTTTTATTTGAAATAAGCTTGATCTGCAAATGATAAGCAGGAACTTTTTTGCGTTTTATTTCGACTGAAGATCGATCAAGAATATATATATGCATATATGTCTGCAATATAAATATGCTTAAAAGCAGAATACCCTCTTTAATAGATCTGCACTTCATGCAGGGTATGAAAAGCGCACAAATTGGTTGTGGGACACGCGTCATGGTTGAAGCTTGCAACAATGTTGCATGTGTGTGGTATATGTGTGCGTGTGTGTGATACATGCAAATGTGTGAGTTTTTAGAGTCCATTGAATGAGACATTTAACGTAGGCCAAAGTTTTTTGCAAAGCTGTCCGTTGACAGCTTGTTGCACTTGCAGATAAGCCGCCTCCAATTGGATGGACAAGTTGCTAGCTTGCACCCCAGGCGGATGTGCACCCCCCACCCCGCTCTGTGAGCTGTCAGCATTTTGGTGTCTGTTGAAGGCCAAAAGGTTGCAAGGTTGCAAGCGCCTGCTGAAAGTAATCGTCGGGAGTCTCGTTTGTGTTTGGGTTTGCTTTTTGCTTGGGCAGAAAATTATGCCAG